TCTTCTGACTCTTTCTCTTCTGAACTTTCTCTTCTCTCTGCCTCTGCCCTGCTCTGCTTTTCATCTGTCCATATTGTCGGAAGTTTAGCTTCTCAACTTCCTTCGACAATATAGTTAAAGATATGTATCTATATATATATATATACACATAATAATTCCATGATATATATATATACTAAATAATCTCAATATACATATAGATTCGTATATATATATATATATATGCATACTCTACCCAGCAATTGTGGGATATTGCGCTTTGGCTAGTGGTTGCCGAAGCATAATCGCTGCCCCTTGCTCAGCATATCTAGATCATTTGGTGGATTTTCCGCAAGGGTTCCTCCAAGATATTCTCTTCAACCAAAAGACTTCGCTAATGACATTTCAATACGTTTCATATATATATGTATATTCGTATATATATAGTTATCATGTATAATAACTAGAACACCTATAATGACTAGAATTACTATAATAACTAGAACATAATTATCACAACTATATTGAACCCCCCCCTTCGATTCCCCCAAGGTCCGCCTCTAAAGCCGCGTTTGCAAGAAGTCACCCCGCGGGCCCACTTTTTGCACCAAGATTCCAGCACCAGGATAGCCCTAAGTCAGTTGCTTTGGGTACATGCTGGGGTCAAAACACCACGTTTGTGAATCCCACACTGTTCTACACATGTACACACCAGAATCAACCCCATCCGCGTTGCAACAATGTGCTGCCCCCAGTTACACGTTGCCTCGCAAACCCCATAACCTGATATTTAGACATATATCTAACTATATGTATGTATTTTTATATATATATATGTCTGTGTGTCTGTGTGTGTGTCGTGTCCCCCCTCCCTGAAACCTACCTTTTTGGTACCCGCCCTCGAGTCCAAGCCCAGAAGACTTTTTTCGATATCCGCCCCAACTCCACCCACGTCCGTCCGCAGCAGATATGCCTCGTTCCCTTGCTCTCTTCTCCTGTTCCAACCCACGCCTACCTTTCGATCTTTCACCCTTCCCTCTCAAGTTCTGGGATGTTTAGCCAGTAAGTGTTGGCTGACTTCGACCCTGCAAATCAGCCATTTTTAGTGGACACATCTTCCAACCCCTGGCAGGGTCGCCATGTTACCAGAGGTGAGTGACTGGAATTTGTTGAAGGCTTGGAGAACTTGAGTCCCTCTGCAGGCAGACTTTCAATACCAGTCCCTTTTCCAAGCAATGCGCAGACTTCACTTAGGTTTCTTGTTGATTTCTGACTAAATTTATATATCTAAAGTTCCTTTTTGAAAGAGATAATGTATTCTATTGATTTCTTTTGTGTTCTGAAGAACAGATGTTGTTTCGTCAAGCAAGTTGAGTTTATTTACTGATAAATATAACCCAGGTTTTTTTTACTCTGCCAGTCGCTGCTAAACCAACACCCCTGTTCAAAAACTACTGTACCCTTTATATCTTTGTATATAATATAAATATATATATATATAATATATAATTGCACATACATATATATATATATACATACAGAGAGATGATTATCATAATCGATTCTGAACATTTCTGAACGGGGAATTCCATTCTCAACCAACAAATGTTTTGCACGCAGTGGTAAAATTGGCCAACAGAATGTCGGAACTGAAATCACAGTCCTTGGCAGGTGCTGTTCTTTACGGGCAGGTTTATAACAATTGCACGTTTACTCTCCGGTCTATAACTAGGTTATCTATGCTTTATGGTGTATATAGATAGTTAATGGTGGTTATCAACCTATCAACCAACGCGAAATACCGTGGCAGTGGACAAAATAAGCAGTTCGATGATTGTCCCACAAAGAGCTCCATTTTGATTAGGGATTTTCCAGCCAATTGGTAAATCTCTTCCGAAGTCAGAATTGAAGTCAGACCTGAAGTGACTACTTTCCTCACAAATGAGTCAGATCCAAGCAAACATTTGAAAGAGGACAGCAACACAAAAAAGGGACTTCCAGCACGGCGTTTCTCAGATCACTTGCAAGAAGCCTAGAGACCAACCAATCCTGAGTAGAAATAGTTTCATTGCGCCTATGCCCAGCAGCATCAGGGTGTCCAAGGTGTATTCTACTGTACTATAAGTGACTGCATTGTCTTTGCCCAAAACGTTTGATGTCGATGTTTCTTGGGGTGTATTAGGTGTGTTTTGTCAACTCCTGATTTGTTGCAAACAGATCAACAAACTAAGTGGTTTTCTGCGCACGGTATCAGATGTCATCAATGGGAAGACCCAGACCCTCTTAATGTATCTTAATGTCATAAAGCCAATGCCACAAATCTCCTCATGAACTTCATGAACCATGACTGGCAGTTATATAATATTATAAACATCAACCCATTTCTAAGGTTTTTTGCTAAGGATGGAAGGGGTGATTTAGCTCATAATTTGCCCTTTTTTCCAGCGGGTAATGGGATTTGATCCCCTCCATTGAGCGCGGATTTCCCACTTTGTTTGAGTACTAGACCCCGGGTTTCTGTACGGTATTTTTTGTGATTTTGCCACAGGGAAACCCATTTCTGGAATCTTTAAGGGAATATCACCATTTTTATAGGTGGTATGTTTACCATTCCCGGTCAGACGATTGGTAAAAATGACATTGTTTTACCCACGTTGAAGCCCCTCAAATCCAAGAAAGTTCTATTCTTGTTGACGTCGAACATCCCCAAGGTCTCCTCGACCTTGTTTCGATTCAGACGTGATGAGACTGTCGATTCAGACCCTGGTGACCGAAGATGGGAGAAAATCATGGGATGTTCAAAAGGGATTTGCATGGGATTTAGCCAACCAACATGGACATTTAACCATGTATCATGTCTTGAATATGACCATACATAAGAAGGGGTTTCGTTGCACTTCAGTGCAAAAAAATGGCATAGATAAGCATCTCAAATTGTGACATTTTGAACTTCCCTAAAATCTCCGACTTCTGCTGAGAAACTCAACACACTCATTTGATGTTTGTGATCTCTAGATGTTTGTGTCAGCTCCTTCAGCTTCAGGTCCTGGCAAAACGCAGAGTCTGACAGATTCTGAGACGTGGTAGATGGGTTTTCCATGAATGGGGGTACCCCAATTGCTGGATGGTTTATTTCATGGACACGCCCATTGCTGAATGATTTTGAAAAGGGTACCCCCATGACAAAACGGAAGCCTCCACATGGTACACAAAGAACGACTCAAAGCCAAAAAGCATTGGCAGAAAAGGATGCAATGGAGTGCAGCTCTGAGCGCAGATCCGATCCCAATTATGGACATGTCAGATTTTCAGCTGTGAAATGAAGCCCTGCAACTTTATTTGGCTTATTGTTTATCAAAGTTTTTTTGATTCCACGTCTCATTGTTTATAAGGCCAGGATGGTTGCACTAGCAACGACTGAGATGGGGCTGGTTTGAAGACTCGCCAAAAATGGGGCTTATTGGGTTGCTTGATAGCACATCCCCAATTCCCATGGTTGCTATCCATCGTTTTCCCATATTTCCCTATTCAAATAGCCAACAAAAACGGGTTGGAGCGTAGCAAAATCATTCCTTTTCAATCCTTTTCAGATGCAACGTTAGAGGAGCTGATCGATTTGATGGATACCTTTGATATTCTTGTCGGACCAAACCTGGTACTGCTGACTTTGCAATACATCAAATATCATTTAGTGATAGTGGTCAATGTGGTCATTCAACAGTCCAAGACTAGTGTGCTATGCAAGACAAAGATGCGAAGAACTTGTGTCCCCGAAGACAGGCTGACTATCCAACTCATGCAGATAGGCTTGCTAGGATTTCCATACCTTGCCGCTCTGGAGTTCGTCTCTCCCTTGTTTGAATATGTACATATGTGTATATACATAATTATATATATTAATAGACAATATAGAATGTAACTAGAATGTATGATATAGATTATAATATATATATAGCAAATAATATATATATAATATATTATATTAGTGTATGTAAAGTATATTCCACCAACATGGCACAGTCACCACACTCACACACTGACACACACACATATATATATATGTATATCCATGCATGATATTGGCTCAGAGGTTCGACACATCAAGCCCCCAAACCTCGAGAAGTCAATCGGGGGCCCTCGGGAAGTGAAGGCAGCAATGACTCGGGTGCCAAAACAACCCCTTGGAATTCCGCAAATCATATGGTAAACTGAATAATGGGCCTACCATCTGATGGGTTTTACCACCTATTTGTCAAACATTGTAATTTTCTGGTAATATTTTTGGGATTGTTTAAATTAAAAAAAATGGGTTACCACATCTAAAATTATCCCCAATTGGGTACTTGTCAGCAGTCATTATCTAATTGTGGATGTTATACATTGATATCCACAATTACTGTATCCGTAATTATCCAATACTTGATATACTTATATTGCGATCATTCTCATTGTCCAACCTAGTTGATATTGGTTGTACTTGGTTATGCAACAATTATTAACTTCCTGATAGCTAGTGTGCATAGATTTCGATAAAGTATCCATAAGTTATCCACGAACCAGACATAGATATCTAATTGATATCTATCAATATCCACAAAGTATCCATAAATATCAGTATATTATCCATCATGGTAATATATATATATATATAGATATTATGGCCTAGACATCTTAGAATCTAACATTTTCTACAGGATGGGCCCCCCCAGTTATGTTAGTTGGTTTATAATAAACCCCATGAAAACTAGTTCGTTATATCTAACAATAGCGGGTATATATAGCATCATTAGTCACTATTAACCACTATTAACCACTATTAACCACTATTAACCACTATTAACCACTATTAACCACTATTAACCACTATTAACCACTATTAACCACTATAAACCACTATTAATCACTACTAACCACTATTAACCACTATAAACCATCGTTTTTTTTCACTACAGCATATCTCAGCGATTCCCAACTGAACGCGAGCTTGACTTGGGGCCCCATCCTGTACATCCCAACTCGCCATGGCCCGGAATGAGAAAGGCGGGAAACTCCGAGGGGGCGCTGAATGGCAAAACCTGCAAATTGCAACTGGGATTTATACATCTACATATATATATATATATATTATGTGTATATATATAAATACACGTGCATGTATACAAATATATATATACTATATATATATACGTATATATACGTATATATACGTATATATATATATACAGTAGTACTCAGTATATGTAGATCATATGTTCGTTTTGTTTCGAGTATGGTGAACATGACCCCAGTTGTTTGTTGTAGTGGGATTGCTTCAACATTTCTACACAGAATTCAGTGAATGTGACGACAATTCCATAGAACGCATTGATTTGCATTTATAGTTCGTACAATTTTCATTGGATTGTGTAGTGAAGAATTAAACATAAACTGATACTCCCTGCCTTCCTAGCATTGTTTCACATGTTTTATCTCTTCATCAGACTTGAATTTTGTTTTAACATCTCAATGTCCATCTTGGATGAATTCAATATTGGCACTTCCACTTGCCTGCTTGACCTACGCGCTATTTTCCAACCAAGGATTTACTGGCAATGCCCGCTCAGGTGCGAGATATGTATATATGGTGGTTTCCAAAAACGGGAGATCCCCAAAATGGATGGTTTATAATGGAGAATCCGATTAAAATGGAAGATATAGGGGTACCCTCATTGCAGGAAACCTCCATATACAAGTATATGTATATATATATATAATCCGATTACAGTATCTGCACCGACGTTCTGTGCACCTACACTGCCCTATTTGCCAAAAACACAACTTCAATTGGAGCTTTCTGACCTGCTTAGTCGAAGGACTTGCCAATTGTTTTTCACGGCTGCGTGACGAAAAAAACGCACTTGGCAAGATGATACAGCACAATTTGTTCATGAAATTTCAGATGAAGTTATACTTCATGATGTAAAAAGTATGTTTAATTCTTATATATATATATATATGTGAAAAGAACGTGTGTGTGTATATATATATTATACATTGTTTGATGTACTGACTACTGATTTGACACGCGCTGCGTGCTGCACTGCTCGGCCAGGCGCTGCATGCATCACATATTATATATAATATACATACGATTACAGAAAACAAATGTAAAACTAAGGCATATTGTTTTTTTTACAAAAGAACAAATACATTTAAACACGCCAAAAAGACCAGGCTTTCAGAAGATTTTGGACTGTGCACCAGGCAGCAAACACTCGGTGATGACGTCGCCGGGTGGCACCTTGATGAACTTCCGAAGCAGCACCAAGACTCGGAGGCCCCCGGGAATCTCCGGGCATCTCTTAACCATGGCATAGCGCAGCATTTTATGGTGATTGGATGTGGATGGATGTGGGATTTACCCTCTGGTTATGACTAACATAGCCATGGTATAGATGGCCCATAGAAATAGATGGTTTACCTATGAAAAATGGTGGATCTTTCCATGGCTATGTTAGTCATAACCAGATGGTATATGGGATTTATGATGGGATGAAATCCTGGAATGAAAGTGGGATATCCATGGGAGTTGAAAGAAGGGAATACGCAAAAGTGCCGTAAACTTGACATTGAGATAACTTGCAATGTGGGGCCCCCTAGGTAGCTAAGTTGGTTTATAACTCCAATAACTATGGTGTATGATACGTATAACTATAGTCAATGGGATTTATAAACCAACTTATAACTGGGGGGCCCCACATTGTGGGGATGGTTCATTGTTGGGTCTACCCAATTAATAATAATTAATATGGCAATGCCCCCCGCCATAGATGTGGAAAAATTGAAGACCTGGAAATGACGAGGGGAAAACAACAAAATCGAACTATATAGCATCCTCTACAGCAACGCTTAAAGATACAACATTTAGAAACCTGGACATTTCCCTCTGGCAATTTGTTACACAGCTATTTAAAATGGCACATAGAAACAGTTAATTTACCGATTTTTCAGATGGTGGTTTCCCTTAGTTCTGTTGGTTACTGCAACAGTTAACCAGAGGCTATGAATTTCAGCAGCATCGAAGTATCATCCTGGTTGCAGATCCACATCTCCCAGATTTCTCCATGGCCAAGGGTTTGAAGCGAGCGATGTGAGATACAGCCATGGCTATGATGGTACTAAGGTTATGATGATTACCCTCTGGTGAACTAACATAGCAATGGAAAATCACTATTTTTAATGGGTAAATCCACTATAAATGGCCATTTTCAATAGCTATGTTAAATTACCAGATGGTATGGGTCAAAATGGAATACTGAAAACTAGGACTTCGGTTTTAGCCCATTTCTTTTTTAGTCACCGATTATTTTTGTGGATATTTGTGATCTCTCTGGCTTGTCCTCTTAACATTGCCAACAGCACTACACTACTGGACACACATTAATTGGGTTTCAGCCTCAACAAAAAATTGTTTGACACCCTCTGGTTAACCAACATAACTATGAGAAATCACCAATTTTAATACATATTCTAACAATACATTGGCAATTTTCAATAGCTATGTTCGTTTCCCGCAGGGTACAATGATATATAGTATCTACATCGAATCGTGTTGTGCTGTTTTTTTCAGCAGCACTTTGTTCGGTGATCGTTTTGTAGTACCCGATAGTTCTGCTGGAAACACCCGGAAGGTCTGGAGTTTGGTGGGTTGGACACAAGTGTCACACGTTGCATCTTTGATTCGTTTCAGCCACCTTGAAAACTTGCACAGGTTTGACAAGGAGCGTGGGTGGCAGGTGTGGCTTTGGCTGCGGCGGGTGATAAGTCACATGACATGTGCATGACATGTGCTCTGTCTTGAGAATGAGTAGCACCAAACAGTCCAGTCAGAAAATCTGGTTGGTGGTTTGGAGCATTTTTTACTTTTCCATTTATTGGGAATAATAATCCCAATTGACGAACTCCATCATTTTTCAGAGGGTGGCTCAACCACCAACCATAGATGATACAGCGATGCGCGTTGGCACGCGGTGCTTTCTGGGATTCGAGCCATTTTTGGGGTATCTCACGGTATCTCCGTCCCATTTTTCATCAGCGAAGAACATGGGCATGTGATGGTGGCAATCGATCTAGATGCTAGCGGGATGGAGCAGATTCAGGATCCTACCAGGCTCACGATTTATGGTTCACATCTTTGAATTTTGTATATGTAACCGTATGCATATGATCTAAAACGGCTCAAATTCTCTGTGAACATGGCTCAAATGAAATCCCACATCTTTTTATTATGATTTAATTGTGTTGGCCCCTCTAGTTACCATTGTCTTGAAGATGCGAAGGGTTTTGCAACTTTCATAAAATCAAGTGGGGGACATCCATGTCATCAGGCTGTTTGTGCAACATGCTCATGCTGGAGACGCCAAAACGGATTGATTGACAGCTGCCTAGGGCTGCGGCAAGTGGGGAAGTCCCTTTTGAAGAGTTGCTGCAAGATAGATGTTCTGAAGCCAGTGATTGGTTAAGAACGGGATTCCCCGTTCTTGGATTGTTATAATCCCCAGTATATAAAGATATATAAAAGGGTAGTATAATCCCCAAACTAATAATCAACCCTGCCAGGGGTTTTGAACACTGCTCAATTCTCCTTTGTTTTTGGTCATGGCCCATCAGCTCTTTGGGGGACGGGAAGATGGGCGACATAAATCTCACCATGTGAAAACATGTGGCTTCAACATGTTGAACCCAAGAATTGCGGAAAATCCTGGTTGAGAGAACTCCGTTGAGCAAGTCCCCGAAAAAATCGTGCATTATCCCATATTTGTGACTGGGTTATAAGCCCAGTAACCACTTACAATTTGGATGATTGTGCAAGTACCCCCGATCGGAGTATCCCTATCACAAAAACATGGACGTCTATCGACTCAAGCGAAGGAGATGGGTGCCATCGAAAAAGATAGGCTCTGCCAAGTCTTGAAGAAGGACGTGAGAGGTGCCATCCCTGCCTGCTGCCAGCTACGAGCCGAGCAAAGCTGAGAAAATCTGGCTAGATTAAGCTAGATTTCACGCTTAAGACGTCTATTAGGCATTAGGCCCCTGTCTGTTTTTTTTTCTTTCTGAGTTACCACAATCATCAGGATCAGAGTGGTGGCGACCAGTAATTCGAACTGGTCGAAGTCAACAAGAATTGGGAGATAATTGACCAGTGCTTGGTGATGGTTGGGGTTCCTTATAGTATTTTAAACCATTTAAGACCCGCTAAGACTGCCATTTCGCAGTGGTGCAACCTATGAGAACAGCCACATGTCTGACATTTCGACTGCCCTGTTTTGCTGAAGGTAATGCTAAGCAGTTCTGGGATGCACTCAAGTCCGCCAGCCTGCAACACTTTGAGAGTCGCTGGGCGGTACCGGCTACCGGAACCTGGGGGTAATTTGGGAAGGTAGGGCCAAAATTGCAACCATAATAGTAAATATAGTACAGGATGGGGCCCTCCAGTTGTGTTTGTTGGTTTATAACCCCATCTAGATATAATTATTTAAGCGTAGCATACACATCGATACACTATGGTTATGACAGAGTTATTTGCACCAACTGAAAGCCAAAACGAACTGGGGCCCCACCCTGTAATAATGATACTAATCACTGGTTGGTGGTTTGGAACATGACTTTTATGTTTCCATATATTGGGAATAATCATCCCAACTGACGAACTCATATTTTTCAGAGGGGTAGGTCAACCACCAACCAGATCATAAATCTAGTATTCTACATGATTAGCTCCTAGTGGCCCCCACGATTTGAAGATTGCCCGGCGCCGAGAGACAATCCATGCAGTTGGATAAAATTATGATGGACATGTTGGTGTTTTGAATGGTGACTCAATCTGGTTGGTGGTTTCAAACATTTTTGTTTCCATAATATACGGGATAATCCTTCCCATTGACGAGCTTATATTTTTCAAGATAGTTAAAACCACCAAGCAGCAATGGGTTTTGAATGGGAAAGCCAGCATGGGAAACCAAATTTCTCTTTTTGGAGCATCTGAGTGTCAATCGCTTAGCCTTGAGAAACGACCCCCTTTTTTTGGGATCCCCTGAAGCCAAGATTCATTGATTCAGATTCATTCATTTTGGAGGACTATTCGGAAGTGTTGATGCTTGACAAAACACGGATATATGATGAAATATGATATTATATACTGTATATATTATATTATATTATATTATATTATATTAAATTATATCATATTATAATGTATTATATTATATTAAATATTATATTATATTAAATATTATATTATATTAAATATTATATTATATTAAATATTATATTATATTATATTATATCATATTATATTATATTATATATATATAATTATATATTATTTTATACTGTATTATACATTATACATTGTATTATATTATATTAAATTAAATTATATAATATTAAATTATATCATATTAAATTATATTATATCATAGTAGAATATATTATATTATATTAAATATTATATTTTATTAAATATTATATTATATTTTATTAAATATTATATTATATACTATATATTATATTATATTACACTATATTATATTATATTATATTATATATTATACATTATATTATTTCATATGGCAGTTATATTTTATTATATTTTATATTTAATTATATATTATATTATATTATATTATATATTATACATTATATTATTTCATATGGCAGTTATATTTTATTATATTTTATAATACTATATTATATAAATGGAAACTCGACAATATCCTTTGATGAAATTTATGGGCAAGACCAAAGCCTATTTATCGTCATGTCAGTGGATGTTCTTGATGCTCCTGATTCGATGGTTGGATGTGGGGGTTGGATGTTGAGCACGTGGATGTTGACGAAACAACGATGAATGTCAAAACCATATCTGATTCATGGTTTGAAAATGCGCAAAATGTGTTTGTCTCAAAATTTATGCTACCTCATGGTACCTCATTCCATTGCTTCATCCTCATTTTCTCGATTAAAAGGACCTTTACTCCTGGGACCCCTGCATCATTCTCAGACCCATTAAACGCCTAAGCCGATGGAAGTAGAACTTCGCATTTTGCTGGGCGAAATTGACCCGGCCTCCCGGTGGTATTTGTTTTTTCGTCATACCGTCAAAATAGCAATTTCCATAATGACATGTGCGTAGTGTGAAAATAGATAGTCGAAACTGTCAATCATACACTATAGTTATATATCCCCCGTTTGAACATTTCCATAATATATTAAAGTACCAGAGAGTATTTTGAAAAAAACAACTGTCATTTTTGTTGGGTAAAAACCCTACTAACCACCTATTAAATCCTTTGAAATTCCATATTCAATTACCATTTGGGTATGTTTCAACCATTTGCATCTAGGTGGCTCACCCATTTTGGTCATGTTCCGTTTTTTCTCGGGCTTCACCCTCACAATAACCAAATAACATTTGCATACATTTGCGATCTCAAATCTATGGAAAATAGTCGCCTCAGGAAACACATATACGAAATAATATGATTCTATATATAAAAGTATTCCCAGTGATTTTATCCGTGTTGTCATATAGTTCCAAGGGTGTTCGTTTGATTTTGAAAAGAGTTCCGTGATTTTTAGTTGGGTGTGCAAATAGTTCTAGCAGCTATTCTAGCGGGTTCTGTTTGATTTTGCAAATAGATCCACAAGGTTTCGTTTGTTTTGCTTTGAATTTCTCATACAGTTCCCAATGCTATTTTTCAAGGTTTTATCATGGTCTTAAATAGTTCCTCAGGTATTTCGTAGAGGGTCCATGTATTTCTACATACCCCTCAGCTGCTCACCATGAAAGAGACCAAGAAAGGCCCCAAGATTCTCGGCCACAATATTCATATATCATCCATACGCATGCTCATGCAGATCGGAACCACCATTCTGCTGACAGAAGTTTGCAAGCGCGGGCTGCAATCGCATTATGGCTACAACTGAGAACAACTGAGATCTCCTGCAACAACATGCGTTACAGAGGCTAGATGTGTTACGTGACTTGTAAACATCTTACGTGCATGCGCAGCGAGACTGCCCTTCTGAGTTTCATCCATCCAGTTTCGGCTTGAGACTTTGCGCTATTTTTCTTCAGGGCACAGGCATCAGATGGCACAGCAACAGCAGCTTACACCTTGGCGTCGCAAGATTTCCCTTGTGCATGTCGTGGGCCGGCTTTTACAACATGCCCTTCAAAAGTTCACCCTTTCCCCCTTTGGAGCTGCACCTTGGCATTTTCCTTTGGATATCAGTCCCATAGCAGCAGCGGCACGCCTGCGCTTTTAAGGTACTGACGCTGTTTTCATGGCCTTTTCAAGTCCATCTGCTCCTCGGCGCACTCAAAATATGGCTACGGGCTGATAAACTCGGATGTGCGCAGATGCCCTGGACACTCTGTGGTAATAACAATTTTTTCACACAGGTTAGTAAAAGGGTTTCGCATTATTTTCATGCAATGATCAAACAAAGACATGTGTGTCTATATATATATATATATGTTGTTTTTCTGAAAACAACATCGCAACTGGCAATTGGCAGTCATCATTGGAATTTGCAACGGTGTCCAGTTTTGTGTCTGTGTGCGAATTATATTTTCATGATTTTTAAGTATGGTGGAAACATGTTGCGTTTGAAAAAACCAGTCGCAGAAGAATACGCATGTATTTTTTCCTGACAAGCAATGGGTCCACACCAAAGGACAATCACTTCAAACAATTCCGAAAAAGGTGTTGCAAAACGAAACGCGGGCAGTCAAATTTGGAGTGGCATTTCCACCGAAGCAATGGTTTCGAGAAATGTCAATGCATTGTTGAAGTGTGTTTGGTGCCTATGATTCTATGATATGCAATCATGACCAAACAACAAACCATGTTAGCTGAACCATTTGAAACATCCCGAACAAGTAAAGGTAAATCTGCACAATGCCGTAGATGCATGTAGATGTTGGTTTACTCCAACCATTGTTTCACTTGCGGGACACGATCTAGTGGGGAAGGATTGCCACGTGACAGGATTGCATGATGTCCTTGGAACAATTTCAGGACACCGAAACGTGATGACCGTTGTTTTGTTGATCCAGTTCTGTTGAGTCAGGACATACCCCACACACTATGCAGGTTTTATCCTGTGGAAGGTGCCCCGACACCTGCTTGAATGATCAGATGAAACTGCATGGACGCATGGTGACATGTTCCCACAACCAATGCCCAGGCATACATACGATCTTCTAAGTCGGATCATTTTCCCGAGTTCCAAAGTTGACATAACCTAAACTATTGTGTTTTTTCCTCCATGTAATTCACGTGCAAGGTAGTCGGTTTCCTTAAATGGTTGTCAAAACCATGGTTATTAATTACCATGTTTTGCGCACCCCCAAAGTACCTTCAAGATCCGTCAAGCGCATCGTTTCCTTGTTGCAGGAGTTGTCTGAATATTTGGGTTTCGCCTTGACTTATCACAGCGCCAAAACCCTCTTCGAGCAAAAACTGCGCGATCGGGTACCTTGGTCGTGACACTCAAAATCAGTCGACTGCCACAGGGTGGTACTGTACCTCCCAGTGAAATGTATGTTGATTCATAATCGCAATTAACCATAGATACAACCCACATAAACACGAGGTCATTGGAGTTATGTTCACCAACTGATTTCACTATGGGGCACGACCCTATTGTCTGAAAAATGACGGTCAGCCACGGGATATTAGGGGCACCATGGGTTACCGATATTGCCGCATGGGTTTCACTGAAAGTAGGGTACCCCTAAAAATCCATTGATTAATCACTATATTACTGTAATCATTTTTTGATGTTATTGATGGCTATGCTATTGGGGGGTATGTAAATATGCCAGATTTTCAGACACACGGAGATATTTTCGCACAAAACCGATGCTTTTCCTTAAAATCCTGGGTTGCAGCTTGTTGCACGATGTTGCATGTCGGTCTGGGTATGTCCGAATCGCGCAACCGAAACCTAGGACAGCTGGTCAGTTTTAGTGATTCTGTTGTGTTTCCAGAGAACGTTCATTCAAATGTCACATTCCGCACATTCGGGCTGGGCAGAACATGGTATTTGTTCGGTTCGCCGCAAATATACAAGAGGCACAATCATTTACTATACAACTTTACAACATACTGTAGCATACATACATATACATATATATATATATATTTATATATATATATATATATACATACGCGCAACGCCTGGGCTTTGCCCAGGCGTTGTAGCGTAGAGGTTTCCCATTCCCAAAGAAATGTTGATGCAACTTTGCAAAATTCCTATTGGACAAACAACAAAGGTACTAGGGCATATTAAACTCCCACCACCGTTAAACCTTAAATCCCTATGGGAAAAACAGCAAAAGTACTAGGGAATATTAACCCCGCCCGCACCTCCGTTAAACTTTACATTCAATTGGGATGATCAACAAAAGGATTAGGGAATATCAAAGTCCCACCCCCGTTAAACTTTACATTCAACTGGGAAGATCAACAAAAGGACTAGGGAATATTAAAGTCCCACCCCCGTTAAACTTTACATTCAACTGGGAAGATCAACAAAAGGACTAGGGAATATTAAAGTCCCACCCCCGTTAAACTTTACATTCAACTGGGAAGATCAACAAAAGGACTAGGGAATATTAAAGTCCCACCCCCGTTAAACTTCTACATTCATTGAAGATCTTCAATAAGGGTTTGATTTTTCCACCCCCGTCAAACTTCTACATTCATTGAAGATCTTCAATACGGGATTAATTCTCCCACCTCTGTTAAACTTCTACATTCATTGAGAATCTTTACTAATGGTTTTTCTTCCCCCACCCCCGTTAAACCTCTACCTTCATTGAAGATCTTCAATAAGGGTTTAATTCTCCCACTCCCGTTAAACTTCTACATTCATTGAAGATCTTCAATAAGGGTTTGATTTTTCCACCCCCGTCAAACTTCTACATTCATTGAAGATCTTCAATAAGGGTTTAATTCTCCTACCCCCGTCAAATTTCTACATTCATTGAAGATCTTCAATACGGGATTAATTCTCCCACCCCCATTAAACCTCTACCTTCATTGACGATCTTCAATAAGGGTTTAATTCTCCTACCCCCGTCAAATTTCTACATTCATTGAAGATCTTCAATACGGGATTAATTCTCCCACGCCCGTTGAACTTCTACATTCATTGAGAATCTTCAATAAGGGTTTAATTCTCCCACCCTCGTCAAACTTCTACATTCATTGAAGGTCTTCAATCAGATAAGGGTTTAATTCTCCCACCCCCGTCAAACTTCTACATTCATTTAAGATCTTCAATACTCCCACCCTCGTTAAACTTCTGATCTTCAAGAAGGGTTTAATGATGATGATGATGATGGTGATGATGTTGATGATGATGATGATGATGATCCGTCGCCTGTCGTTATTGCGGGCCCGGGCAAAGCCCAGGCATTTGCCGTATATATATATATATATTTTTTTTTTAATTTGTTTATTCACATATTTATATGTGTCTCTCTCTCTATAAAAAATGACATATATTTATATATGTAATTACATATATATATATATACGTAATGTGTACATGTACAATGTAATTAACTATGTGTCCGCCTTGGGGCGTTCCCAACAACAACAACAGCAACAGCAACAGCAACAGCAACAACAACAACATCAACAACATCAACAACATCAACAACATCAACAACATCAACAACATCAACAACATCAACAACAACAACAACAGCAACAACAACAACAACACCAGCACCAGCACCAACAGCAGCAGCAGCAACAACAACAACAACACCACCAGCACCAGCACCAACAGCAGCAGCAGCAGCAACAACAACAACAACAGTCCTACATGGGTAGTGTTTGTGAAGGTAAATGTGGTTGATGTCCAGTTTATAGGGAGTATATGGAGAGTATTTAAGGAGTGTACAGGGGATATTTATATATAGCCATATTGTATATGGCATGTAATGAAGCATGCGTATAGGTAGTATATATTTTGACTGCGTGTCTGTGGGCGGCGGATGGTTGGTATTGTATAGAGTGTAGGGAACATGTTGGAAATTAAGAGGCAATGTATTCAATGCACACAGGTACATATACAATGTTTGAATTGTGGGGGTCTTTAGGTGGCATTGAGGTTGGCAAGTATATGCTACATGTAATAATACAGTAGTGTTTAGGCTGTAGGTATTCATACGTACACGCCGGGTAATGTATACGTAGCACATATGTAGCATGTAGGTATGCAACGCGTAGCAAGTCATGTATGAGGTGGCTATAGGAAGCATATAAACAATATATATATATATATGATAGGTAGTATTTGCGAGATATGTATAGGTATGACACAAATATAGGCGCAGACAAGGTCCAGTGAAGAGGTTGTGGCCGAGGTTTCGGGTGGGGGGGACCATAACATTGGAGGTGGGTGTCGATGTCCCGGTACCGGGTTCATAGATACATATGGGATTTTAGATTCTAAACGTTCCCGGCTCATTGCTGCACACAATGCCATATCCTAACAAGTCCTTGCAGCGGTTTTTTTGTGAGTTGCTGGTGTCCAAAGCATTTCTTCTTTTGAATGATTTAGGTGTTTCCTAAAATGGGGGTACCCCTAAATCATCCATTTTCATAGGGTTTTCCATGTAAACCATCCAGCTATGGGATGCTATGGGGGTACTCCCATTTATGGAAACCCCATTTTCATGGCAATTCATGGCCATCATAACCCCAAAGTCACGGTTTCGGCAAGGAGATGAATGCCATGACACTTGAAGATTTTCAGGCGCCGGGAAATCATCGGAGATCATGGGTTTCAACACGACACTTGATGGTTTAGTGATGTCTAGTGAATTGGATAACACTAATATCAATTCGATGGAATATTGGGTCCAGCTATGATGGGTAGCTGAGCAAAGGCCAGCGAGAAAATATCAGTCGACGGTCTGCGTCACGGGTCACCTTTCAGATTTTGTGGGGACACCCTGTCTCCCTGTCTGTGTGTATGTCTAGAAGTGACTTTTGGAGATTTCGGCGTTGTTTTCGTATGAACATGTTTCTGGGGCTCAGGTGCCAGTATTTGGATCCATTGTTTCTTGGCCCACATCTACCTCAATGGTAAGCTTGGGTATTGAACAGTCTAGAAACAGTCTACCCCATTGATGCAGTATGAATTTCTCGAGACTTTTCTCGCCGTCGGCATGGCAAACGGAGCTGATTCGGTGGTGTCAAATCCTTTCTTTTCAGAGTACTTGGTGGCTCATCCCACTCAGTAAGTGGGTTATAGTTATATCCCAGTTATAAGTGGATTGACCCTACTTATCCCACTTATAACTGGGATAGAACCCACTTACTAAGTGGGATGAACAACCAAGTACCTGTTATTTTTGCCTAACGTATTTCATGGGAGATCAAACCACCAATCGAGTAGAAGTTGCCCATGAGTTCGTCGGCATCTGCAGAGTGCTCCGGACCCTCCGGATCATCCGGATGTATCTAAGAGTTTCCATCTCCAATCTTGTGACCAGATGTCACCAGAAGTGAGACATGAACGAGATGTACTTAAAATCAAAATGATGAAAATCATTAGAGGGTATACTAGATAGACTGCCACGGTTTTGTCTTTGATCTCCTTGTTTTTGAAACGATGCGATCTGCTGGTCCTCCCTTGTTAGGTATCGAGGTTTTGGCACCTGCTGACACGCATCCGACGCATAACTTTTTTGGAAGACTGGACATGTTCAAAGAAACGACTCCGCATTAGATACGGGTATTCCACTAAGTTGTATGATTGTGTATGTATATTTTCTTTCGAAAGACACTTTGTGGCGTACATACATATTGATGGAAGGCTGTAGCTATGAAGAAATATTATGCTTTTAAGCAAAAGCATATGCATGATTGCTTGCGTGTTTTTTTTTCTGAGTGGAATGATGTATGTCAAAAACACTTAGCATTTATTTGTGCAAGAATTCTGCCTTTCAAAGGATTACTGTGCCGTTTCCGGAAGATTGCTGCTAAGAAATCCATCCCTTACAGGAATAGTACCCCGCATGAATCAACCCCGAGTTTACCTATATTGGGGGGGTTCTCAAAATAGCAATTTATTTCTTTTTTTGATAAGTAAACTAGGGGTTTATAACTTCGGGGTTGATACGCGCTGGTTGCCTTTCCAGCTCTGCTGATTCTGTGCTATGTGGCGCCTCCATCTGGAGTTATGATTCACAAGTTGACTCTTAAGTTCAAAACCGCGTCGAGTTGTATGGAGATTGTATGGAACTGAATCATATCCATTCATATCCAAATACTGTTTCATGAAACCCTGGCTTAGTGGCTTCTGAAAAAGTCTGTTGTATGGTTGAGTGGAAAATATGTGCCTGCAAGGGCAATGTAACCCGAAGCTGTTTATGAAATCTAAGTTAGGCAATATCGAAATTGGCATTTCTGCACCTTAAATTCTTGCCATCAACAAATGAAAGTTGAAAATTACTTCACTTCGAATGATCCCCACCATGGCATTTATACATGTTCTTACTGGCAAATCTTCTGGCATTCTATCTGACATATCTTCTGGCATTCTATCTGGCATTCTATCTGGCATATGTTCTGGCATATCTTCGGGCATATCTTCTGGCATTCTATCTGGCAAATCTTCTGGCATTCTAACTGACATATCTTCTGGCATTCTATCTGGCATTCTATCTGGCATATCTTCTGGCATATGTTCTGGCATACCTTCTGGCATACCTTCTGGCATTCTATCTGGCAAATCTTCTGGCATTCTATCTGGCATATTTTCTGGCATTCTATCTGACATATCTTCTGGCATTCTATCTGACATATCTTCTGGCATTCTATCTGGCATTCTATCTGGCATATCTTCTGGCATATGTTCTGGCATATCTTTTGGCATATCTTCTGGCATTCTTCTATCTTCTGGCATTCTATCTGACATATCTTCTGGCATTCTATCTGGCATATCTTCTGGCATATCTTCTGGCATATGTTCTGGCATATCTTCTGGCATATCTTCTGGCATTCTATCTGGCAAATCTTCTGGCATTCTACTGACATATCTTCTGGCATTCTATCTGACATATCTTCTGGCATTCTATCTGGCATATCTTCTGGCATTCTATCTGGCCGTTGAGGTCCGGCAGTGCCCACTGGGATCTGGAGCTCGCGGTGGAGGTCCGGCTCTGCCCACTGCGATCTGGAAGTCGCGGTTGAGGTCCGGCAGTGCCCACTGCGATCTGGAAATCGCGGTTGAGGTCCGGCAGTGCCCACTGCAACCTGGAAGTCGCGATTGAGGCCCGGCAGTGCCCACTGGGATCTTGAGCTCGCGGTGGAGGTCCGGCAGTGCCCACTGGGATCTGGCGCTCTGCAGCTTAAAAGATGGTTTTCTGCTCCAGCACAACAAGATCATCTTTAATTTCAAGCGTCTCATCTTTTTCAACCTGGGCACCATCTTGCTGATCAACCACAAAGAAGCTGAGATTTCACCTTTTTTTTTGGCCAACCGTATAGAGTCACTAAGAACCATGAAAAAAACAACTGTAATTACTAAATAAGTACCCATGATTGTTTATTTAATTAGAACCATGAAGAACCATGAAGAACAATGAAGAACCATGAAGAACCATGGATGGCTTACAGTTAATACTATAATACGAAGTAAACATGATTGCAATGACCCCATTCATGACCCATTTAAAAATCACCGGCGAAACTCGCAGGATGCCTGCATTGTGGCACCCCTTGACCGGATACGTGCACGGCTTCGGGGGCATAGGCGGGACCATGGGACCATGGGATGCGTAGACAATTCACCATATGTCAATGATGATAGCCTCTGGTTATGTTAAAATAGCTATTGAAAATGGCCATTTATAGTGGATTTTCCCATGAAATATGGTGATTTTCCATAGTTATGTTAGTTTACCAGAGGGTAGCCTCTGGTAAACTGTCCCATAAAGGACTGGAAAGATCCACCATGCTATTTTTGTTTGGGAAAATCTTAAATAGCTACCGACTGGGCCATTTTCAATAGCGAACTGTAATAAATTACCAGAGGGTAATATGGTGAAATATCAGGATTATGATAAATTTACCTACAGAACTGGGCCATTTGTGGGGTAAATGTAAGTAAATATTCCAGCACCATGGAGCATTTGGGTATTGGTGTTTATGATTATTTCAACATATGCCAACCTAATCTGAAGATAATAGACCAACATATGTCAACAAACATATTATTTGGGAAAGGGCGAACTCGCGACAAGAAGACGAATTGGTCGAAGACTAGGTCTATCATCAAGGTCCTTTCCAAACATGAGACGAATTGGGTAGGTGGACCACCAGTCATAGTTGAAGCCCAAAACATTAGTTGCAGATCCATCCATCAAGGGTAACTGTTGAAATATATTAAACATATCATGACACACAGTGATACATAATGTCAATAATGTCCATACACGTTCGGGTTACCCTTTGGTGATTTAATGTCGCAAACTGAACAATATAACCATGTGTAAATAAATTTTCTTCATGAGTAAATAGGCACTTGTCATCCCTTTTCCATAGCTATGTTCAATTACCAGAGGGTACGTCTAAAAGATCTTGGTCGCCGGCTTCATCTGCCCGGGTGAGGCAAAACATGCTGGCGTGTGCCTTCCACATTGACAATTTTATCAGGTGCAGCTCGATCTCTGGGAGGAGTTCTGATGGAATTGGACCAGGACCATGACCTTTTTTTTTTGAGATAGGGTGAATAGCCACCAGAAAAAAATCCGAATGCCCACATTTCAATATGGACAATTATGATGATAATATGATGATAAAGCCATTGAATTTAGAGGTACCCTTTTGGTTTAGACACAGCCATCAGTGCTTGATGGAGTCATGACTCTTGCGACTGGAAACCTTGACCTAAAGAATTGGGGTGACGACATTTTCAGCCAAAAACGGGGATTTTGCTTGGAAAAATCCCAACAGACCCCTGCAGGAAAACTACTCATGTCTATACCCTGGTCGCTACCATTCGCTACCCAAAGTGGTTGGGTTCATTGTGACGTACTGTGACGATTGGGCCACTAATCAGTGAGTATTTTGCTGGCAAAGTCAGTTTTACTTTTATCACATTGTGATCCAATCATGTTTGATTTTGAGCAATGACATGCAGTGAAATTTGGTTCCCAGTTTTCATTGGAAATCAGTGTTGGGTTTGCCATTCATTGACAGTTTTTTTTGTTCCTGCCTCGACCCTCCAAGTATTCTAAAATGGTGCTTTCCCCCCGATAACAAACTAGTACTTTACCTTTTTTTTGGGGGGGTATCAATCATTGGAGGGTCAAGCGGTGTGTGTTTTTTTCATGGTCAGCATCTCCATCTTCCATGATTTTCAGCCAGGCATTTGTCACTTTTCACGGGCGAAGATCATCGTCGCCGGGCGGTGACACGCTTTCAGCAGAAGCTCACGACCCGATTTTGCGTGGCTCGATGGAGAACTTTTTGGTAGGTTGGCCAAAAGATGCCAAGCGCAGACATACAAGTGGGTGACACAGGTAGTCATGATAGTCGGATGTTTATTCTCGGAAATGATTGAAACAAAAACGATGAAATGATGAAATGATGATGGATGATTGATGATAACACGATAGAGTCTAATAGAGAGAAGTCTCACAACAAACAGGCCACCAGGGCCGTGCTTGTTGGTGTATCATGGTGATCTTGCTGGGTGTAGATTCCGAAGATGTCCCCCGATTTATTGGTGTATAAGCAATGATAAAGCGATGAGTGAGATTAGATTTAGATGATTTAGAATCTTTAGATTGTGATCACTGATCAGGTCAGATTGAATTTGATTAGATTGTATCAGATAGATTTATATGTAGATGGATGGACAGCTCGAAAATTAGATAGATAGACTATGTAATAAAATGAATACAATGCTAAATTATATAATAGTTCAACAATACACTTATGGCTATACAATCTTATTTAAGCTATCACAAGCTATCTATTTATAATAAAACCAGCCCGTATCATTCATTCCCAATGAACTTATTAACTATCATTCATGATAACATTATTAACGACATCGTTTATAATAATACATTATTTATCAGTATTGAACCTCATTGTTATCATAGTGTACTATTATAAAAGATGTAGTGATGATACATCATTTATAGATAGTATGAAATGATACTTTCAATTACAAATGTAATACTATCGATACTGAAAATCTAAAATAATCATTGATATATTATCTATACTTAATCTTCTATCGATGATAGAATAGTACGTAAGTAAAAATGACTATTATTGCTATTACTATATTATTGATATTGGTAATTCATCAACTACTATGTTCTTTTATTAGTATTACCCTTTGGTAAACTAACATAACTTTGAAAAATCACAATTTCTAGTAGGTAAATCATCTATAATTAAATGGTACATTTTCCATAACTATTGATTCATTATTGATTCATTATTAAGATTAGAAATTCATTACTCTTATAGTTATAAACCAGCTTAGCTGACTATGGGGCCCCATCCTGTATTATGATCGTTCAATAATGGACTTCCGAATGCTTGTCGGCCCGTCGAGATGGGCCACAATGGTGAAATATACGTGGTTGTCGACATAGTTGTCGACATGGGATTAACAGTAAAACTAACCAATTGTAATGTATATGAACTACATAGTATACACGTATATACATATATATATATACATACACAGAGATAGATTCATACGTGTATATATATATATATGTGGATTGATCATGAAAAATACAACTATATTACTACTCGAAGGATTTGTTTAAACGGATTTATGACAATTGGAATGACGACAGCGGAATGATAAATTATCTAAATATAATGGTTGATAAATGATCAATAAAGTAACTCAATGGATGATTCATTGTACATTTTGATTACTATATAAATGATTATAAGTGATCGCTACCAATATATATAGACATATATATATATACATCAATATGATCGATTAATGATGAATGGACCACTATAACAATCATTAATAAATCAATATAACATTACTATATTTAGCAACATTATAACAGCAACTGTCAATTGATTGTAAGATGATTGAGTGAACCATTTATATTTATATATGTATCACGAGCTCCCGTCGCTGGGCCAGGTCACTGATGATGGGAATTGGATGCCACGTCATCCCCTTAAAATCACAAAACACCAATTGCAGGGCTGTAGAATTTCATGTGGACAATTCCAGAAATGGAAGAATTATGGGATGACTATCGGGATGACTATCGGGATGACTATCGGGTCAACTATCGGGATGACTATCGGGATGACTATCGGGATGACTATAGGAATTGTGTTTGTGAAAATATTGGTATACTACATACCCAGTATTTCCATAGGCTGTAATACAGGTAAATATCATCATCAAATGAGAGGTAAACATGGCATTCACGAGAAAAACCAGCATTCCCATCCACATCCCTTCCCGCTGGCGCGGCTAAGGTGACGCTTTGGAGTAGCTTGCAACAATGGGCAGAGAGAAAGACGCTTGCGGGAGAACCCATGATCAGCCACTTGGTGATCAAGCCACAAAAAGGCGCCTGGTGTTAGTGATTGACAACGGTTCTACATATATATTTAAGTATGCATATGTGTGAGCATTATACAATATACATGCACAATATATATATATATATATACACACACACCTTTGTACATGATAAAGCAGGTATTGGACACTCTTGTAAGACACAAGTTGTGCCCATACGCCAGTTGAGTGGTGACCATTGACAGCCCTGTTGCTTCATGGGGATCTCTGGTAACTTTTTGTTTGGTCGCAATTGCAATGCGCCTATCAGGTCGACGGAAGGGAATAAACAAACTCTTCAAGTTCAGCTTGTGATTTTTGTTCACGCATTGTGCGGCCCAGAAAAGAAGAGCGCCACTGTGATCTGTTAGGCAGAGGAACGAGCCCAGTAATTCCCAAAAGTAGAATTATTGAGGCGAGATGAAACGTCACACAATGTCACGCATGCGAATTAATGACGAGGTGACGAGGTGCGAATTATTCCAATTTGGCGAGAAAAATTGTGTAAAACACCATTTTTGTGTGTACTTACGGAGGGTCCCAGCCATGGAACACCATCATTTCAATAGGCAAATCATCAAAAAATTGGCAATTTTCCGTAGGGTTTTTAAGCATGAAAAATATGGTCCATATGGTGATAGAACTGATGAATGATGGTTGATGATTAGTTTGGGATTACACTGCCTAAAATAGATATTTGGGATTATATATATGTGTATATAGAATATATATATATATTATATATATATGCTAGCCGCCCCCTAAGATCTACCTTTGATGCTTCTCCAGAGACATGCATGATGAAGCTCACTGCATACTTCAATTAATTATGCAGTGAGTTTGATCATGCACATTTTGTACGCCCTTCAAAGAAGCAGTATCCCAACAACATATAGAGCATTCCTCTAAACATGCAGCGTTCTTTTCGGAAGAAGTGCAGTTTCCCTTCAGGAAGTTATTCAATTATTCAGCCTTCGTTCAATCATACAGTATTTCTTTCAAAACACCAGATTCCTACTCAAGATGCAGTATGTGGTTAACATTGAGTATTGCTGTGAAAATGTGCAATGGTTGACGTTCATTGCAGCATTCCTTGAAAAGAAAGATTGTTGTTAAAGGAAAATGCTGCTTACAGGTTACACTCTGCCTTGAAGACAAGATAGTCCCTTGAACGAGAGGACTATTCTTGCAACAAAGTATATATGTGGAATTACTTTACTTCGTGTGATCCCCACCATGACATTTATACATTGTGTTACTGGCAAATCTTCTGGCATTCTATCTGACATATTTTCTGGCATTCGATCTGGCATTCTATCTGGCATATCTTCTGGCATTCTACCTGGCATATCTTCTGGCAGATGTTCTGGCATATCTTCTGGCATATCTTCTGGCATATCTTCTGGCATATCTTCTGGCATATCTTCTGGCATATGTTCTGGCATATCTTCTGGCATTCCATCTGGCATTCTATCTGGCATATCTTCTGGCATATTATCTGGCAAATCTTCTGGCATTCCATCTGGCACTCTATCTAGCATATCTTCTGGCATATTATCTGGCAAATCTGCTGGCATTCTATCTGGCAAACATTCTAGCACTTTATCTGGCATATCTACTGGCATTCTAGCTGACATTCTATTTGGCATTCTATCTGGCATACCTTCTGGCATTCTATCTGGCATATCTTCTAACATTCTATCTGGCATATCTTCTGGCACTCTATGTGGCATATCTTTTGGCGTGGATACTCGCGGTTGAGGTCCGGCAGGGAACACTGGGCGTGGATGGTCGTGGTTGAGGTCCGGCAGGGAACGCTGGGCGGGGATACTCGCGGTTGAGGTCCGGCAGGGAACACTGGGCGTGGATGGTCGTGGTTGAGGTCCGGCAGGGAACACTGGGCGTGGATGGTCGTGGTTGAGGTCCGGCAGGGAACACTGGGCGTGGATGGTCGTGGTTGAGGTCCGGCAGGGAACGCTGGGCGTGGGTGGTCGTGGTTGAGGTCCGGCAGAGAACACTGTGGATCGCGGGTCGCAGTTGAGCAAGGACGACGAGGACGACGAGGACGACAAGGACGACAAGGACGACAAGGAGGACGAGGAGGGGGAGGAGAGGAGGACGAGGCAGGAGGAGGCGGAGGAGGAGGAGCAGGAGGAGGAGGAGGAGGCAACTGACATAAAATCTAACAACCCTCACCTGGCAGGTGGGGAAAAATGAAATACATCCTTTTATGGAGCTCGGCCTTCCTCTCATTTTTCTTTTATGACCATTTTTTAATGAAAGACTTATATAATGTCTTCAAAATGATTGCCCTGAAGACAATGTTGTTCCTCAAATATCAAGCAATATTCTTGCAGAAAGAATACAATATGTGGAAAGATGCAATACATCCTTTCTGAAGTTCAGCCTGACTTTGAATGACAGTTGTCTTTAAAGGAAAGACTTAGTTTCTTCAAAATGATGTTGCCTATTGTGTTCAGGCGTTTCACTCATATGGAAGAGAATATTGCATGCATACAACCATGACATGTATCTGTCCAAAAATACTATATACATACACCCAAGGGTTCTACTTGAAAGTAATGTGTTATTAATTCATGGTATTGAATCAAATGGTTCACTCCCTTGTGAAGGAGGCTTTGCACATACTTGCACCAACCCTGCTTTAAGGCTTTAAGGAATACCATAGTCGGTTAAAATGGTTACTTGAAGGATTCCATTTTGTCGTAATTCTGTCCTCCTTCCACAAACTCCTTTACCTCTTGAACAGAACTTTGCATAGCTGTAAGTACTTTGAAATAACTCTATATTCCTTCCAAAGAAATGCTGCACTCCTTTATAGTTTTGCACAGCTGTAAGTCTGATTGAAAATAGTTATGTATTCCTTTCAGATAAATGTCGCACTCCTTTATATAGTGAAACTCTACAAAATGACGTCACTTTCTGCAAGAAATTATGCGCCTTTATGCTAGGAATGTCATATTATTTGAAACATATTGCTGCACACGGCCTAGGGCCTATATTATTGGAAAAATTTGCTTTGACAACAAACTTCAAAGTCTATGCTGAAACCTGTATACGTGTGATATTTTCTAGTCTTGGCTGTTTGTCTTGTATTTTTTCTTATGAGGGTGCTCAAAACCATGAGAACATTAGCAAAAAATAGACACCTACCTGGATGGTGTACAACCAAATTTAGAATTATGCAGTATCTTGCTGAACCTTTTGCTGCTACTCTTAAAGGATGTGGGTGTGCATTGCAACAAAACCTTGATAAAGCCACATAAGACAAACACCACAACTTTTTAGATAATGTTTTTGTCTGAAGCTCATGCTTTGTTTTTGGTTTTACTCCAGTTTCTGTGACTTGAATCTCAAGTTTGAAAAGAGTTCAGACTTGAAAATCGCAAGTCTGACATTGTAAGGATCCAAGATCCAAGATCCAATATTTTCAAAAAACTTTTCTTGGATCCAGGGCAGAAATCTTGGATCCAGCAATCCCATTTGGATCCAAGATTTCTGCTCTGGATCCAAGAAAAGTTTTTTGAAAATATTGGATCTTGGATCTTGGATTCGTGCGCCCTGGGATCCGAAGTCTGACAGCTGTCCAGACTTGAAATCCCAAGTCTGAGGTCCCACTGGGATCTTTCAATCTAATGTCATTTATGTATATGTATATGTACATGTATATGTATCATTATGTATCTGCGTATGTGTACCTATAAAAAGTTTTCCAGGTAGATCTCAGGGGAGGGGTACAGGGGGGGTACCACATATATTTATTATTTATGTATATATATATACATAAATAATATATACATGTGCATGCATATATATATACATATATATATATATATCATAATCCAAACATATAGTCCGTTGTCACTGGAAATCCCATATTCTTGACAAAGGAGGATTTGACGCTCAAAGAAACGATGGGACGGAGCGGAGACCAGGCTTTAGCGGAATGGTGATCCATCCATTTTTTGGGGGCGTAAAAACCCACTGTTCAGCATATAATATATACTGATATGTATATATATGCGTCATTTATGGACTTAAAACATGAATCTAATTGGGGACATTCCATATATATATATATACATACATATATGTATACAACTGCATATACAACTGGATTACATAGGCGGCACCTGGCATTTGACATCCCATAACTTTTTCTGGAGAAACTTATTCTCTGGAGTAATTGCGAATTGCTTACAGATTCCGATTCTGTCAGGCTGGTGGATTCGGTGCAGGAATCTCATATGGCTATGAGTCAAAACACTGGCATTCTAGGTACCCTAAGTCATAGCCGGTATAGCTGGATGCTCATTCACCCATGGCAATTTCATAGCTAACAAACGACCCATCCCCATATTTGTTCATCTATCAAATTTCCAAATCTCAGAAATCCTGGCGGTCCTGGTGGTTGCTTACACATCTGGAGGTCTCCTAAGTCCTAGGGGTACCCCTGTTCATCATCCATTTTTGGTTAGGGATTTTCCATGAAATAAACCAACCAGCTATTGGGGGTACCCCCATGACAACCGAGGTAAGGAGACTTTCTTGAAGCTGGTGGATAGCATCCAGTCCTTTCAGGCACGACTGAAAACAACGGCAACCCATCGAAAAGAGCAGAAAACCCTGGGGGGTTCCCGGAAAATTTGAATATGTGCCTATAATATCCTATAATAGTGATTGATGATGGCTAATAATGGTTCATGATGGCAATTTTAATGAATATGGGTCTTCCTAAAATGAGCGATCCCCAATAGCTGGATGGTTAATTTCATGGAAAATCCCGATCTAAAATAGATGAGAACTGGAGGTAGCCCCATTTCAGGAAACCTCCGTATATGGATAAATATATGAGAGGTTCCGAAATCTGGAGAATGATGTCGAACAAAACGTGAGTTTCACACTTCAATTACCATCTGGTGATTTAACATAGCCATGGAAAATCACCATTTTTGATAGGTAAACCATCTATAAATGGGCCATTTTCCATGGCTATGTTAGATAACCAAAGGGTAAACAATATGAAACAGTCATGACTTTTGCCCTTAAGGGTTCACGTGAGTATCCCCGGGCAAAGATATAGTCCCCAGAGAATTCAAAAGACCCAATGTGTCGAGACGGAAAGTGGGTCCCTAGACCCTCGGTTTGTATCCGTTTGCCACCTTAAAATGGTATGTGTCCCCAGAATTCATTGATCAACTAATACTTTTGCTGTAGCATTTTTGTGCAAAATGCAGAGTCTAAGTATCATTTTTCATCATGTTTCCCTAAAACCACGATTATGTTCATCCCATCAGGTGGAGTTTTCCTAAGATTTCCTACATGGGGGAACCATATCATCCGTCAAGGATGAAGCACATCTGACTTCGTATGGAAATCTATGGCTTATCCTTGGAGATCCATGAAGAAAATCGAAACAACTCATCATCCCAGTGCGCCCGAAGCGGCGCTGCCGAGGCCTAGAAACCAGTGGATTTTGATGGATAGTTTTTTTTTGAGTTCTCATATTCCACTTGAATGGTGACATAACTACATAACTGACATAACTCACTTAAGCAACTGCTATTTCTTGTCATAACCAATAACGGCTCTCACATTTCTTTCATCCCACACCCCAGCAAAATAAACAACGGCCTGCTAGTCCCACTTCAAAACTGGTATATCTGATATACGGTATGTAAAAAGGCTTGGTTCGCTGCCTCTCTTTCAGGCCTTTGAGATGGACTTTTTCGGCAACATCTACGAGCGCGTGGATCGGGGCCAAAAGGGGGAGGTCGTCGGAGCCTTGAGGATGTCGGGCGGTAATTTCCTCGGCGGTTGATCCCATGTTGAGCCCAGGCCTTTTGGCCGAAGAATCGAACCAGTTGGGTTGGACATGAACTGGTACCCAAAAAATGGAGGGGATAATAGTGGTTAAGAATGGTTATATAATGTTCAAGCATCCTTTGGGTGCAGGATTTCGAAACCATCCAGTATGTAAAACATCGATGAACATTGGTGAAAATCATGGGATGAAGCCACTGTGAAAACTGTGAAAAACTCAATGGATGGAGATGAGCATGGGTGAACATCTATGGGAAAATCGATTGGAACATGTCCCAAAATTATCTCAACAAATTTAGATGTCGAAATTTAGATAAACCACATCTGATTTGCGTGTCTCATAAGAATGGTGCGCCAAAAACTGTGTCCAAACTCCTGAGCATTTTTGCACAGATGAGGTTAGTGCGCAAGGGAAAGCGTGTTTTCTGTGGTTCCTAAATGGTGGTTTCCCAAGTCATGGGGCTACCCCTGTTCATCATCCATTTTTGAGGGATTTTCCATTGTAAACCAACCATTTTGGTGTACCAAGTAGTTCGGGTCGCCATGATCTACTTTGGTGGACTCAGAACTTCGGGGCACATCAGGAGTGGTTTCATCATCTACGAATAAACTGTCGTTTGAAACACATAAATAGAACATTTTAACGAGTTTTTCCCTCCAAGAATGACCTGTGTATACATGATATTTGAAGCCCCAGGCCTGGGGGTTTCCTAAAATAGGGCTAGCCCAAATAGTCCAAGTCACTCCATTTTGTCGTATTGAAACCCATGGTGATTTAGGGTACCATGACTTAGGAAGCCTCCATGTCAATGTCTTCAATTCGCTGAGGTCATGTTCGATTTAACCGTGACGATTTTGTTGATGGCAACCAGCAACAGTCGTTGTGACAAGGCGAAAAAATGTGGTGTCGAAGTGTGTCGATGTTTGCTACATAGTTATCAGGAGCATGAAACTCTGTCATGTTAGGAATGTTTAGGAATTATCCATGGAATTAATATGGAACTCTCCCATCACCGTATTGTAAATATTGTTCTTTTTAATTGTTGTTTTTTTTAAAGGAATGGGTCCCACAATGGATCCTGGTCCCAAGTTGAAGGGATTGTTATTCCCCCAGTTACAGTATGGTAAACACAATAATTTTTGACCCATCCCGATATGATTTGGTAGGGAAACCACTCAGGCTAGGGAAACCACATCATTTTTTAAACAAAAACTGATTTAAATTCATTTCATTCAAGCTGGGGCCCGCAAATGATAGCTAAGTTGCTTAAAAGAACCATCCCAGATAGAGGTTTGTTGTTGGGAGATGTTTATGAAATGATCCCAACTGGTTGGTGTTGTTGGGTTTTGTCGGAAAGGTCTATGCCGGTTTATCACATGAGTAAAGGGCTAGGTTGGTTTATAACTATAGCTTAAGTATGGTTTATGGTAGATAATGGTAGATATAACTTTATCGAAAAAATGGGGGTTGTCAACAAACACAACTGGGGGGGATGGGCATCTTGTGTGAAATCAAAAAAAACATATCATGTGATTTTTAGCGATGAATTTGACTCACCATCCTATCACTTTCTGCGGACTCACAGCTACCATTGCCAGGCCAAGTTAATCTTCACCGTCTTTGCGCCTGGTCCTGCTCGAGAAGGGTGGTGAACTCATGTCATCGGAGATGTCTATCTGGTTCCAATATGACCTATCTGGTGGTGACGTCATTGAAATCATGGTGAATTTTGGGGGAACTTTGAACTATCCCAAAATAGCCGCACAAATTTCAGGTCAGTGAATTGTGGAACATTTCTCTATAGATAAAAAGAAGGCGCACCTCGCTATGAGTCATGGCGCTGCCCCACAGCCAATTTTCTGAGTCTTGTTTTTGATAAGCCATGGTTGTTTTTTTTGGAAGTCATACAAGACGTTGCCGTCATTTTTTTCGGGTAGGCGGCTTTAAACTTAAAACAGCATGCCACTTGCAGGTTCTTTTCACACCTTGCTGATGGTTATTTAAATCATGTTCAATCACTTTTTCACTTTCTGCATACGGCATCAGTATGATGCTCGGTCACTTGCAGACTGTACAATATCATCTTCAATAGTATATTTAAATCATGTTTAAATCATATTCAATGATGAATCATGTTTGATGTTAAATAACTATCGAACATATGAACATGTTTGAATCATGTTTGATGTTAACTAACTGTTGAATATATGTTAAATATGTTAGTTATCTAGCCTCTGGTTTTGACTCACAGACTAAGGTCATTGGAAGCCATGGAGGGTAAGTTTGATCCCATCTCCATGGCAAATGTTCACATCCGAATGTTGATCTTTGTAAATGCCCACATCCTAATTTTGATTTCAAACTATATATATGGGACCCCATATATATATATGTATATACATACATAATATTATGTGTACATATATATATATATATGACTATACAGTATCATAGACCATAAAGACGTGCATATGTTTTAATTTTTAATGCACACATACCTTTTAAATATGTCCGTCGTCAAGATCCTCTCATCACGGTTGACGATGATAGGGGGGTTGTAACCTACCCTTTATACTTTGGATATTCTCATAATCCATTTTCAATGGAATCTGGTTCTTAACTTCAATGGGAATATTGTTCTTAACCAGGATGAAATTGACATTGCTGATGTTGAAATGTGTTGAATACTTGCAATGTCTTGAAACTTAAGCTTTACATATATCAGTTATATCAGGGTAAATTTCATCACGACCTCACTGTTCTCCCGAAGCCTGGAATCGTGGGAATTGGATTCGGGAAATCATCCCCAAGTGAAGATTTCAGGTTAGTGAAATATCATAATTTACCCAGATATATGGTTCCTGCAATATCCATTTTTTGGTGCCATTTTTTGGTCCCAGGATACAGATGGAGACGGCTGCTTGTCCTCGGAGCAGCTGCTGAAAATGCACGCAGAAAAACACGGGGAGCAGGGGACCTCTCGTCCCATTCTTTGGTCGAGATCTTGTAGGTGTAGGATGGTGTAGGATGGTGGAACACTTTTCTGATCTGTTTCTGATGAAAATTCTGATTCTTGCGGATTTAGTCTAGCCAAGCTAGGTTCAAGGGTGGAAGCTTTTTCTTGCAAGTTCTGTTATATAGGATGTTTGGTCCTGTTTGGTCATCTCCCCGATGAAGGGTATCTACTGGAAGCCATTGGCAAAATGATCTGGATACATTTGAGATGCGGTTTGATAGGACTATTAGGTAGGAGCATTCAGGCATTTAAGGATGAAGGGTGAGAATTGCATTTTTTTTCCAGCCAAATGGGTCACCTGACCATAAAATCGCATAAAATATTGAAAATTGACCCATTGATAGTTGAACATGGTTCATTTATAGTTGACCTACCTATGATTTTCCATAGTCAACTATATAATTACTATATATATATACATACAAATGAATCATGTTCATAGTCATTTTTATAGTGACCTATGAAGAGCCGTGATTTTCTATCGTCATTTTTATAGTGACCTATGAAGAGCCGTGATTTTCTATCGTTCATCCTGTGGATCAGCTTGCATTCCAACTCCATAGGAGCACCATTTAAGGAACTGTATTTACAAACAACATCAAGCAACATCAAATGTGTCTATTAAGTAAATAACTATGAACATATGTATGATTATGTGTAGATATCTACATGTTTTGTTCATATGCATATATATATATAGACAGATGGATGTATATGAACCTACATATATCATAGTACTGATTTGTTAAAGACAATGATTGATACGACCAGGTACTGTAGCCTCATCATCCACGCTGCCATCGCACGCGGCGACCAGCCCTCGTATGATGCAGCCTGGAACTCAGGGACGAACGACAGCGGTGAACCGGCCATTGGAATTTCTGTCTGAGAAATGAGGGGAAGAGTCACAACTACCATTGTTTAAACATGTTTAACACTTGGTATGATTGATATGTATATATATATATATATATCCTAAATATGGTTTGATCCAGACCCTCCGTTTTAACCGTCAAACATGTGGTATTGTGGGGATAGAATGGGATTTTTTTTATGGCACTATTATGGATAAAAAACTTCACGACCTACGTCGCAAAAATCACAAAGGAATGGAGGGGATTTGTACCCAGAGAAGTTGGGATATAAAGCCTATAGCTAACAAACTAACAACTACCCTCTGGTATGGAAACTGGCACATAGAAATAGTTGATTTACCCATTTAAAATGGTGATTTTCAATAGCTATGTTAAATAACCAGAGGGTATGGTGATCGTACCACTTATTGTTGGAACTGCAGCCCCACGTCCAAGTGTGGCCAGACAATTTATATCACTTTCAATCATCCACCTCGGACAGGCCGGTCATCAATCCAACCAACTTGGGGCATGGCATACTTGAATGGAAGATCTGCTGTGAATTCGTAAATGTTCATTTGTTTGGTTCGAGCACCGACATTCGCGCGCGGTAAAAAAAGAGAAGTTGTAGGAGGCATTACCCATAGACCCTGCTCAGGATCTCTAAAGATTCACCAAAAAACATATTCTGATCCATTTCAAGATTTGTTTTTTCCCAGGCACAGAACAGGATCATGGAATCATGGCATAGCTTAAGTGAGTAGAAGGCAACGTGAAAATCAACGTGGCATGGCAGCCATGGCATCACCCTTCGCATCCCCGGTGTCTGTGGCCAGTGCCGGACGCAGCGCGACCGGCGCGACCGGCGCGACCTGCGCGACACTCGCCAGCCGCGGCGCAGGCGGTGTCGCCGTGGCGGATGAGACAGGCACGTGCCACGGAGATTGTTCTGCGGAAATCAAAACATGGCTGGAAAATCCCCGAACTGGAGCTTTAGAAATATGGTTTCATAATGTTTAATAGTTGGCAATGCTCCAAACATGATGATTTTCCAGCCATTTTTCATGACCGGACGGTAAATACAACCAACATCAACCAACTCGTGATGTACTGTCTGCGGCAGAGAAATGCTCTGGGTGGGTATGACCTGTACTTTTAATACTTTTAAGACTTTCCATCCATTGGCAAAGATTGGGACACCATTTTTTTTAGCTATTTCGCTGTTTTGCGGGATGTCAAGCTATTTTTGAGTGGTTTGTTCACAGTCTAATGAGGTGATGGGGTTGGTACTCACCTGGATGTCCCAACACGCCACCAGCCCCACCAGCCCAGCACATCCAATTGGCAATCTGCTGGGCGCCAAAACCTGGGTAGCGGGTAGCTGGTATTTTACAGTTTCAAATCCTTAGTGCTCCAAATCCAATTTTGACACTGTCCAATTGGAGCAGCTGGCCAGAAACTCATCGCCAACGTGAGTTTCTGGGTAGGCCAATGGCCGGGTATGTCGCACGCGGCGTCTTGATAGAAGACGCCAAATCCCAACAAAGCAGCTCAGTGATGACGATAGAATCTATGGAGTGGCCAGAATTTTGCGGACCCCGTTTTTGCCAACACCAGCCACCAGCAATCAAGAACTTGCAAAAGCACGGTAGTAAGCCCTAGACTCCAGACTAGACAAACAACTTGGACACCAGGAAAAATACGTGGCATCTGCATTCCAAAATCATCCAAAATCTGCAACATCCTGAACAATAACTATTCAACTATTCTATTTTTTGGGGGGAAGAGGCTCAGACAAATCTGAGAACAACATAGGCGGATGGTGCACCTTTCCAGCCTACCACACATCGGCCTTTTTCGGAGGTTGGCATCCAAAGTTGGCCGCGACCGCGGCGCTGGCGGTGACGTTTTCCCTTGGAAAACGTGGAAGACGGGCGGCTGTGAGACCAAAGGTGGGGGATGATGCCACCGAAATGTTGAGCTACTAAGCCAGGCTTGCAACAAAGTGGACATACAACCATTAAAAGGCAGTTTCCTGAAATGAGGGTACCCACAAATCATCCATTTTATTTGTGTTGTTTCCATGAAATAAACCATCCAGCTAATGGGGTATCCCCGATGACTATGGAAGCCCCCAAATATACCATTGATATTCCATTAATTAATGTGTAGTACGGCCTTTTGGGTGACTTTCAACTTCGATGAACCATGAATCGTGTAGGTCTTGTGCCGGGCGACCAACATCTTTGAGCGCTCCTCTTTAGAGGCTTCCACTCTGCACTGGGTGATCTGGGTGATTTTGAAAGGGTAAACACATGGTTAAAACTGCCGAAAGCTGCCAACAAAAATCAGCGATTGATACGGATATGTCATGCTATTTGGCTAACGAACTTAAATGACGTTGTAAGTATTTGTATAGTAAGTTGTAAGATATAAGTTGCAAAGTTTTGTCAAATATCTTGGCTGCTTGGTGCAGATTCTTCATGTTCCGAGCAGACGGGGAAAAGAGGACAGCCCCACAAATTACGTCAATGGGGAACCAATGGGGGCGCAGCAACCTTCTCCTGTCCTCACCTCCAAGCTTTCATTTCCAGCTTTGTCTTGTTCCTTCGCAGTTTATCGCAATGTAATGCACACGCAATATCACATAATGTGGTATATGATGGTGTATATATATATAATATACATATATATATACGTGTATATATATATATACGTATAATATTATATTATCAATATATGCAGATAATCCATAATATATATATACAGTATATGAATACATAGACGTACCATTTGTGTTTGCTAAATCTTAGTTTTTGCAAACCTTCAGGGGAAAATTCAACACGTCAATGTTTGCTGCTGACCAGGCAGGAGCTAAGTTGTTGGAGGAAGCAGTGAAATCTTCCAATGGGTCGCTTGGCAGCTTGCTAAATGGGAATGCACCAACCAAACCTGAGGATTGAACCAGCTTTTTAAATGAAGGTTTTTCATATGACAGGCAGGAATAGAATGGAGATCTAATTATCAAACATCAAGATTTAACCAACCAAGTTTTGGTGATATAGTGTTTTATCATAATAGTGTATATATATATACATATTATATATATACATATTATATATACATATTATATATACATATTATATATACATATTATATATACATATTATATATACATATTATATATATATGGACACACCAGAACGACCTCACTAAGACTGCACTGGAAAGATGGGAATTAGAGTGGGCAAATGATCCCCGGCCGCTAGTTTTAATCCATGGAAACGGAGGGTTAAAATTGGCTGTTTCAAATTGGACCAGAGTAAAAGGTCCATTTGAATTTTGACCCAAGTACGACAGTAAACCAGAACGCAGCTGAATAGTCGGATTGTCAATCGGCCATTATGCATGCTGAATTTTGGATGTTATGTTTGGACACCCAGTGCTGTTGCCAGTCATTATTGTGGGAATTGTGTGAGATCTATGGTGAAAGTTTGAGGAAATTGAAGCTATCTCTGGGTGCCATATGGGGTTGTCTTATAAACATTACTATTTCTCCCATCCTAAGAGAACCCAAATAATTATTTGGAATCTTGGATGTCTAAGTCAAGGTGCCAGGCACGGTATGGCGAAAGCCAATGGGAATGTACATATCTTTACAATGGCTCTGCCCCCAGCAGGCACGCTTTCTTTCAACGCTTGTCTTATAAAAACCTTGGGCATTCTTAGGCCACTCGATTTGCCGCTAAAAAATGGAGGTACTGTATGGTACTGTGCAAATCAAGAGGCAAGAAATGGCCAAAACGAACCTTCGTATTTTGTCCTTCATAAGCCAGCGTTCCCGGGTCGACCGGGCATCCTGCAAGCAGGTTGTTTAAAAATGGAGGTTGAAGTCATTGGAAAAGACCCTTCGTGAAACTGCAGAAAATGTGGAGCCACCATGAATAAAACTCGCCTGGTCTCCATGCGAAAAGGCATGGGAATAGTCAAGTTGTGCTGAACCGGCAGGCGGAAATGCAGATCACTGGTTCTCTTCTATGGTGGTTAACTGGTCACTACATCACTGTTTTCTTGTCCCATTTTGCAAACTTGGTAGAACTGGTCCCTGTTTGTTTCTGGATCCGAAACTGGTTAATAGATTGGATTTGGGTGGTTTGTACTGAAACTATCTCAATAATTCTCAATATGTGTGGTTAACATTGGGGTTCCGAGTCCACTTGGCCGGCAAAACAAGATGATTCGTAAAGAAAGATTGATGAGCAACCATCTTGTCTTATGTCAACTTAAATACTCGTTGTTTTACATGTTTTTTAAACTTCAATTCCCGGAAGTCAGAAATATGCAGTCTCCTACCATCCGGTCGTCTCAGGAGCAATCCTACTGAGCCTCTTGGCTTGCGCTTGAGAGGAATTGAGCGAAAACCCTAAGACTTCCAAAGAGTCAACATTTATGGCTTCGATTTTAGGATATTTTAGGATACAGTATTTGAATGTATTTGATATATTAGATCTTTGGGTTATACTTTAGCCCCAAAGATTATCGTATCAAGAAATTAAGTGCTGTAGCGAGAAAGCCCAGACATGTTTTGATCCAAATGATTCGCCACAAAGTCAAAGTGGCCAATCTGGAATCATCTGCGCCCATGTAGCCTCCAGTAAACGTTTACATAGATGTGGAAAACCTATGCTATAATTATTTCTAGACGATTTTCAGAATCAAACCATGGCTTTGCCACATTTACATATAAACCTTTAGTGTAAATCCAGATTCCAAGATTCTCTGCTTCTTCCTGGCCACTTCTTAAAGAACAGCTGGGACGCAACGCGGCAATCGACAGCTGAACAGCCAGCCTTCCAGGTTTACCAGCTTTAGCGAAGAGAAGAATCGCCAGTCCTACGTCTCACAACAAGCTGCCCTGGAAGGCTTGGAGGACTGGCGACGGGAGACGACCGTGGGATGTTTCTCCTGGTTGGAGGTTACTCAAATAAGTTGTTGCTTCTCAAAAAAACACTTGCAAATGATATTATATTGGTTGCAAGTTGTATTTCTTTTAATGTTTTGTTTTTTTCCCGGTTCAAGTTGCAATTTCTTTGAAATACATCTATTTTAGGACACACCAATCTATGGAAATTCTATGATTCTTGTTCACTTTCAAACGTTTTGGAACTTTGAGATCAGAACTCAGAGTTTGTCGATAAATCGCATGAGTTGGTACCGAAGTTTTGCACAGATTCGCACAGGACGTGAATGGAGTGGATGATGATGGCCTTCCCTTGGTCTATTCTGTGGAACGTGGCCGGGTTGATGTGAGGGAACTCCACCAAGACGGATAAACCACAGGAGTGATATAGGAGTCTTGTTTCTTCGCGGATAGGAAGAAAAGTAGGTCAATCTTGAAGGCATCAACTTTGTGATCGATTAATTAAAAAACAACATTCATATCATTGAACATGAACCTTGCATATTCGTTGTATTTCGATTTATATTTTCATGATCAATGCTGGCATATCCGGTGTTCCAATCCGAATATTTGTGGGCAGGTCAGAGTTTGGGTCTGCACTGACCATGGGTGATCTGAAAATATCTGAAATACTGCTAGGTGACGTGGTTGAGACATTGACATAAACCATCTCATTGGTGCATGTGATTGGATGAACAGATTGGACACCGTTATATAGATTGTTTCTATATTCATATATATGTCTATATCACAACAGGAATTCAATCTACATATCCTAACAGTTTGTTTCTTGATCTGATTTGTTTCATGAACAATATCCTAACACTTGAAAGATGTTGAAACTTTGAAACTAGAATTTCGAGCCACGAAAAGCTTAGGCCCAGGCAGCGTAGGAATTGGGCCAGTTTTGCCTTTTGGGCATCGTCCAGGGCCTAACCGCAGATTCTACCGCCTGAGGCATTGCAAACTTCTGGGTGTCTTCGACAGCACTTATTGCAATGACCCATGCTGGGTGCCGGTTCGCACACGGTTCGCACAAGGGAACTCGCTTGGGGTCATGGCTTTACAGCTGGGGGTCATGGTGAAAAAATCTGTTGAACTTACTCCCAAGTTATTGTTTAGTTTGAGAAAATATCTCAAGTCTAGTCCGTGAAGCTCAATGGTTTTTTTCTGAACAACTTGGGAATATCTTATTCCATATTCGTTAACCATCATGTTCATTTAGGCAATGCCTATTCTTCAATGGCCATAGCCGGGGGAAATCGTGATAATCATGTTGAACCCCATTCCATCGATTGGTTATGCAATCATCATGATGCTTATGAAAATAACATCAAATCATAATCATGTCCCATTAAATCCAATGAAATGCCATGTGAGGGGTTTGGTCCCCATTTTCAGACACCTGACAGGGTGAAAATCCCGATAGGTTGGCGTGGTCACAGTTGCAGTCGGAGTCCAGAGTATGTCAGAGTCATTTATAGATTGCATATGTTCATATATGTTCATACATACACGAAATAGCAGGATTTTTACTTTTTCTTTTTTGAAATACTTCAAGAGGTGGGCGTTGAATCCACTTTTCAATCACGTGTCCCTGAAAACGGTAGGGATAGCGTCTCAATGAATCCAATTCATAGATATGAACATAGGGATGTTCATCACTTTTAGATAGGGTTTTAACATCTGGGAGTCAAGCCCAACCCATGATTCTCATCATTTTAGTGGGATGTTCACATCCATAAATTATATTAAATCAATTTAAATCATATTAATCAATCCCCATCCATTTATGCCATAAATCGCGATTTCTTGGGTTTCTGATCTATGGCATCTATAGCTTTTGACCATCGGAAGATCCACATAGAAGTTCTCACCGAGGATACGAAGCCGGGTGAGCTGGGAGAGAGGTGGAGTCGCTTCTTGAGGACCCGTTTTGGGCCCCCGTCTTGGGCTGGCTGTATCCCCCGGTTGATCATGGTAAAGTCATGGTGATAACTAATGGTTAATGCAAAAAAACATGGTGAATAACGGTTGATCATATGGTTTTCATTTTCATAATATGAATTTCATGATATGGTCAATAAGTATCAATAAGTTGTGATAATATGGTTAAACAGTTAAACAGTTAAACATGATAATTAAGGGTGTGTCTGAACATGAGGTGTAGCCTAAATGGCTGTTTGAATAGGCTTTTTTGGTTATTCACCAATGGATGCAAAGGGCTACTCTATTTTCAGACAAAGCCATATATCATATATCTCGTGTTTGTCGGTTACAACATATACAGTATATGTGGTATATGTAGCCCGTATCTACCGTTAATGAGGTTAACCAACAAACAAAACTGCGGGGCACCAGCGTAGGGATTTCAAGGAGCTTTCCAAATCACTTGGTGTAGCTCGTTGCTAGCATCGCTTCTGGTTGACGATGATTCCCAGACAGCCTTTGATGTTGAACTGGATGTTCTCAACAAAATGGCTTTGCAACGAAAGATCGGATTGTTTTTATAGCTACAATTAGATGATTTAAGCACCACAACTATCTAAAACTGGCGTCATTTCATCACGTTCCAAAGCGGGCATGGAATCTCCACACCCCTTGGGCTTTCCCGCAGGATCTCCACACCCTTCATCACTCGCTTCTTCTACTCCCTCTTGAACCTCGGCCTGAGTCGAAAGATAGTCCAGGGTCCCTTTATATATCCCACAATTATCACAATTCGCCAATCATCATGAATTTGACGTTAGTACCAAATTCTAATCTTGTGGGTATACCGGTATACCCTATTTTCAGACAAAGTTATGATTTTTGAACTTACCGTGAAATTCCAATTTGGTGTATACCACATTGACAAACACTTGTGTCTATTTTTGCCAAGTGAGGAGCAAAATTTGTGGATATGTCTGCCCTGCAAAGTGCCCGCGCTAGTAGGAGATTGTGTGGAGAAGGTACCCCTTCACAAGGAACCATGAAAAAATGCAAATGAACCAGCAAGAGACTGTCTTTGAGTATACCTTGACCCCAAGCCCAGCATGAGGAATTATATTAATTAATATTAATTGTATACATCATCCGTTATGCGTAACATTATCGAACATCTCCAAAGAGTTCAGGTACAGCACAAGGGTCACAAGCTTCGGATTTTTGAAGTCGGGTGTCCCATTGTCCGACGAATTGTGGATGCTGTTGAGAAACTCCTTTGTTAGTTCTGGCGTTCCGGCATGAGCATTATAATTATATCATTGAAATTACATGAGTTTGAAAGATTTCATGAGTTTTTTGTTTAACATATACTATATATATATACCTGGAAACTCTAAGGTGCCACTTTTTTTGGCCATTTGGCCAGAATGGACCGTTAGGCGGAACTCAACGTGAATGGGCGGAATTGAGTCGATGTGGTCCAAACTTGGTTTTCGGGAATATCACAGGATTTCGCAGCCATTTCTTGAAATGTCTTTAGTGAACCTGGCCTTCTTTTCTGGGAAACCTACTTGAAACCTCTGGTGCGCCCACCCTGCAGCTTGCAGAGTTTGTGTGGGCAGTTGGAAGCAATTTTCTTTTGCATCAGCAATCACCAGCTCATGTGCAGCTCCCTGGCTCCACATCAAAAACAAAATACTTCAGATTTTCCCATAGTCTAGTTTGAGATGGCCCTCCGTGACTGCAGCAAAGAGATGATTGCCCGACTGAAAGTCACAGGACCAAGCCGTTCTACAACTTCATTTGGTTTGACTTGCTTTCCAACTTCTTATTCCCACCTCCTTTTCATTCCCGGGTCGCGAGGACTCGCGGACATGCCAGAGCCTTTCTGGAACGAAGTGCGTAAGCTCCTTTTCTCCGATTGTGAGACGAAACAGGACTGGTCACTAGTTGCAGTCATGGCACCAAATCCCAACACAGCTACCCTGACCAAAGTAAAAGCCTCACGCAACAGGAAAATTTTGATGATGAGTCTTTCGAGCATGTTCTGAAGAACTATGAGCAGCATGGGGCGGTGCATCGACTGGCACATGCCTACCAGTTCTGCTGCTTTGTTCTCAGCTTTTTTTACTGCAGAACTGTTTACATTTCACAGCGGTTTGGGTCCCAAAACCCATGTTGAAAATACAAATGCTTACTTAGGCCAGGATGACTGTGAGAAGCTTCCTGAAAAGTAGTAAGATCACCGGGTGTAGAGAAGCTAGCTGACAACTGTTTTGGACATCATATGAAAAAAAGGTCGAAGGGGCAGCCACTGACTAAGTTCGATTTGACTTCAGCAAAATGGATTCGCAACACCTTCTAGCCTCTAGCGTTCAAACTTTTAAAATCTAATCCATCACTCCCCGCGCAGGTGCCGTCAGCGAGATGGATGTCACAAGCGGTGCCCTGGGATTTCCTGTGGACATCCCAAAGTTTTGATGGGGTATGTGCGTTAGCATTTGCAGGGATGATATGTTGAAAATCCATTTCGAGGTACCCTTTCCTATGAAAAGACACGTAGACCCAAAAATAAAATACATTTAATTTAGCCACTACTGACTTAGGATGTCTATGGAGGTATTTTCCATTATTGGGTGATGTTTATGTATTTTATTTTTTCGCAATAGGAGTGAACCACATCTTATCATTTTGTTTGCCCCATCATTCTGTCAATACCAGCTCAAGTCAGCAGATTCCCGAAGTCTCAGTCTCAGAAGCTCATCATTGCAAAACGCCTGGCCGTTGCAGCCATCACTGTGTCCCAGTACAAAAGGTGTTAACGCATCAGCGCCCCATGTCGCTTCAGGGATTTGCTGACGCAGTTTGCAACAGCCCCCAGCTGCGGACACGCCTGCTTGAGGGAAAACCATTGTTGGCCTGGCCAAAGCCGTCATTGGTCGGGGTCATCAACAAGAACTCTTTGAGTTTGAACATTGAGGTGATGAAAATCTTGGGTGACATTTGGTGCCCTCAATGGACTGGCCCCATCACAACGCCTGTAGCCATTCAGAAGCAGCAGGCCACTTAGTCAAAAAGATTTGGGGACCCCTTCCAAAAAATGTTAATCGTAGATTTAGTTTGTCTACTTTGTGGGCGCAAAAGCTGTTCCCATCAGGTGAAGCAGATGCGTCTTGATCTGTGTCTCCCGCCAAATCCGGCATTTGTGCATTGTGACTCTCATGGCCTGAAGGGGCTCTTGAGCTTCATCGTTCACAGGTTGCATGCTTCCAAGCGAAGACGGGAGCCCGGGTGGGAATAGGTATTTGTAAATGTTAGAAACCAAATGTCGTGCAACCACGGTTTCCTACAACATTTCCCTTCTCCTTTGCTCATCCCTTTCTACTTGTCCCTTCCTTCCCAGGAGCCAGAGATCGAGGCCTTGTTTGCCAAGTACCGCGGCTATTGGCCACCAGCAGAGGAGGGTGAGGAAGAGACCGTTGAGACCGATGATTCCCAACCCCCGGCCGAGGAGCCTGAATCCCCAGAGAGCTCTGAGAGTGACGAGGTTGTCTTTGACAGACTTGAGTTGGCCAAAGCCTTGGGTGTTCCCCAAGAGCATGTTGAACGGTTGACCCCCAAGAAAATGAAGAGCGACCCCGAGTCATCACCTCCCTCGCCTTTGCCTCCTGTGATTCAGACCTTGGAAGCTGAGCCGCCTAGCATGCCATCCAGGTCCGTGAGCATTCCCGACCGAGCTGACTGGCGTGCAAAGCGCATGGCCGAACTCAGGTAACAGATCTCAATCCACAGTCTGATATTTTCTAGTAGGCAAACAGGTTTTGGTTCCCCACCTGCCAGGTGAGGGCTGTTAGATTTTACAAGAGCTCTTCTCCTTCTGGCCCTCCTCTCCTCCTCTCCTCCTCTCCTCCGCGGCGTCCTCCTCGCAGTCCAGATCGCACTGGGCACTGCCGGACTTCATCTGCCAGCTCCAGATCGCACTGGGCACTGCCGGACTTTATCTGCCAGAAAGAATGTCAGAAGATATGCCAGATAGAATGCCAGAAAGATTGTCAGATAGAATGTCAGAAGATATGCCAGATAGAATGTCAGAAGATATGCCAGATAGAATGCCAAAAAGAATGTCAGAGGAAATGCCAGATAGAATGTCAGAAGATGTGCCAGAAAGAATGCCAGAAAGGATGTCAGAAGATATAACAGAAAGAATGTCAGAAGATATGCCAGATAGAATGCCAGATAGAACGTCAGAAGATATGCCAGAAAGAATGCCAGAAAGAATGTCAGAGGATATGCCAGAAAGAATGTCAGAAGATATGCCAGATAGAATGCCAGAAAGAATGTCAGAGGATATGCCAGATAGAATGTCCAAAAGAATGTCAGAAGATACTAAAGTCACCAGGGGCCAACTTTTGAACTTTTTTGGTTGTGGGTCCGCGCGCGCGCGCCACTTTGGTCTTTCTTTCGTTAGCCCAGTGGCGCGCGCGCGGGGACCCAGAACAGGAAAAAGTTCAAACTTTTATTCCGATGGGTCTTGGTTGGGTAAGGATATGCCAGATAGAATGCCAGAAAGAATGTCAGAAGATATGCCAGATAGAATGTCAGAAGATATGCCAGATAGAATGTCAGAAAGAATGTCAGAAGATATGCCAGATAGAATGCCAGAAAGAATGCCAGATAGAATGCCAGAAAGAATGTCAGAAGATATGCCAGATAGAATGCCAGAACATATGCCAAATAAAGTGTCAGATAGAACGCCAGATACAACAGCGAGGAGGAGGAAGAGGAGGAGAGGATAACTTTGATGAAATCTAGAGACCCAAAAAGAGATGCCAGAAACAATATCAGAAGATCTGCCATAAATCATGTCAGACTAATTGGTCACCGTGGGGATCACTCGAAGCAAAGTAATTTATTTTTTTTGAAGGCCGCTTCAAAAAACAACATTTGAAATTCAGGCGGATGATTGCAGATCGCCAAGCCTGTTCGAATGGAACCACTTCTGTGGGCAAGGGTGCGTTGGCACGACTTTGGGATAAACAAGGTTCCACATGTTTTCTTTCGATTCAACCTCGGTCCACTGACCGCCCAAAAAATAAACACAAGTCTTGTTTGTCCAGCATCGCTGTTTGCAAGTTAGGATCGGTCGACGTCAATGTGGTTGACACAGTGCCCATGGAACTTTCTCCCTTGGCTGCTGCTGCTTCTGCTGACGCTGCTACCCGGGAAGAGCCCAGCCCCCCCACATCCCAGATAGCTGTGAAGGAGCAACTGTTCCCCAAGCAGGAAGAGGCGATGGAGATCGCACAGGGCAAACCCTTCCCCGAGGTGACTCCCAAACCCAATGAGGGTGAGAAGGAACAGGAATTGGGTGAGGAAGCAAAGGCTACAGGAAAGGTTTCGCAGGTTGGGTCGGTGCAGGATCAGGAAGGTGGCTACTCAGATGTGTTGGATCAACCGGAGGCAGGGGTTTGTAAAACATGTTAGGGGTTTCAAAAAATAATGTTTCAGTCAGGGTTCTTTTATCGTTTCGTTGGATGTTGTTTGCTTGATGATCACCACCCTGAGGCTGAAGTTACGCGGCTGCAGCAGCAAGCAAGGAAGAGGGATCTTGATGACAAGGCTCGAGAGGCGAAAGGGAAAGGAAAAGGGAAAGCCAAAGGCCGGGGGCGGGGTCGGGGAAGGGGGAGGAACGGCAAGGGAAGGGGCAAGGGAAGGGGCAAAGGAAAGCAACCAAAAACCAGCAAAAGCACCAAGGCGAAGGCGAAGGCCAAAGCCACAGCTAAGTCTAAGTCCAAGAAGCCACAGGCTGAGGCAGCTGAGGCAAATCCAGGTGATGAGGCTGGTGAGGTTAAGAAGCCAGGTAAGAGAAGCCGTGCCAAGGCGACCATCCCAGAGCCAGCCCCTGCCCCTGCCAAGAAAACAAAGACCAAGGAGAACAACCCCACCTTCGCAGGCAGGTACAAGCCAACAACGGAAACCATGGGTCGGGTTTGGGAGGCTTTGCGCAGAAAGTACATGACCGACATGGTTCCCCAATTGCGTGCACCTTCCAAGTTTCAGGCCGGGGGGGTTCTAACTAATTCAGAGTAGACAAATCAATACAAATCTTACCATTTGAAACTGTTTGGTTTTGACCGGCAATAACGATATGGCTGTTTCCCTTGAGGTTCCTTTCTGGCGATTTGCTTTGAACAAGTGGGGTTCCGAAAAGGTGCAGTTGGATCAGCTCGATTCGGATGGCTTAGCCGATGCTGCACATTGCGCAGGGGAAGCCTTCCTGTGGGAGCCGACCGTCGCATCGCATTTCATTTCTCAGTAGGATCGCGCTCCGATGTCACCTTATTAGTTGATGTATGTTCGGGCCTCTAGCCATCCTAGTGCACTTGCACTGGGCCGGGGTTTGCTTGTGGCTTAACATGCTGGATCTTGTGGCTGCGAGAGCTTGGGAAAAGTCCTTCTGCTGTCTTTTTAAACATCAGTTAGTGGTTTTGCTTAATGCCCCGCTTTCAAGATGTTGTCTGATTGGTTTTTCGCGATCCCAACCCCCCATTTCCAGGATAATGTTTTGCCCATTGCGCCTCTGCTTTTCTCCAGGTACTTCAAAGTGATGCCGCCTGGGGACCTCAGGAAGGGGCTTGGCGCCTTCGCCCTCTGTGGCCAACTCACTAGCCAACCTGACATGCTTTTACTTGATGCAAAGTATAGTGAAGTGATTCAGCCATCTCTGTCCATCATTGTCACTTGATCTATGACTCTGTCAAGTTCTTTCAACGCTATGGCTCAGATTTTTGGTTGGAAAGACCGCTTCATTTTCGAGTATACCTAGTGTTTGCTAGCTGCTGGCCATGGATCAATCATTGCTAGATTTGGTCCTGCGGCGTTTAGTGATGCTAAAGGCGCCAAAGGCAGCTTGATGGCATAAAAAACAGCTGTGGCTAAGTTTGTTTATGGGATACAAAACCCAAATCTCGGCCAATGAGGCACTGATTATGGTGCTGTTGATGCTGACATGGCTGGACTTCGTGGACATAGAAAACAATAGCCGCCAGTTCCAGTGCTTGGAGTTCTTTGCCGGCGTTGGCCGAATTGGCCGCTTAGCCCATAGCCGTGGATACCGGTCGGCCTGTTATGATATCCAATTCGATCCGTTGGCGCAGGAAGCAGGAGAACCTTCTTCCTCTTCAAGCAAACGGGCTCCCTCTTCTTGCAGAGGGAAGAAGGGGTCAGGGACCGCGATGGACTTTGGGAGCGATGGTGGGTTCCTGTTTCTTGATCTTTCACAATTCGTTGACTTAACTTTTGTTGGTTTCTGAGGATTGATCCATTCAAAAGGTGTTTCAAGAAGCAGAAACTTTTAGTGGGATTTGGTGACAACATATGACAACCAATTGATTTTGGAGGGGCGCTATTTTTCTAAAACAAATTAGTGTTTCTTGGGCTCTAAGGACAGCATTGGTCATGGCACTGCAAGGATCCTACAACGCCCATGTTGTTTTTTGGGGCATATGCTGTTCGAGCTGGATCCACCTCAATTCTGGCACAAGCCGTCGGGATTATCTAAATCCGCATGGCCACCCTCTATATCCCAGTGTTCAATTAGCAAACCGGCTTGTGGCAAGGCTGGCTTTGGGAACTTAAGCTTGGGATTCTTTTCTGTGGGGCACGGTGGAGAATTACCCTCAGCATCCGTTGTTTTTTTTGTATTTCGGCTTGCACCCTGAAAGGTGTATCCTCGTGATTATGGTCACCGTGAGCCTTGGGGGCCACATGGTTCTAGAAAATCCCGGATCTTCATTGATTTGGCTTCACGACCGTTTTCAATGGATGCTGGAAACCCTTGCTTCTTTGGGGATTAAGGTGCCTTAGTGAAAGGATGTAAAAGGTTTCTACATGTTTAGAGCCAGAAATGGGTTCCCATTTGAAACATTAGTTTTCTTGGTGCCACCGTTCGCCCTGCCCAGGTCTACCGCCAGGCTTTCTGGATGTCCTTCTGGGGACACGACTATATGAAGAGGACAGTGCTGTGGTCAACCTCCAGAATCATTGGGACTTTCAATAAAGGGAAGCTGTCCGCAAAAAAACACGGGCCCACCAAAACCAAAACTGTGGTTCGCTACCGAAACCGCAATGGGCGCATGGCCTACAAGGGTTCGAAAACTTTGAAGGGTACACAGAAACTTGTCTCTAATGGTTAAGTTGGAAAATCGGCATGTCTCAGTGACTTTTTTGGAACCAAACAACGCCACCTAAGTTTCAGGCATTTCCAAATTTGGCAGCACTAGGTAGTCCACTGTGCTCATCGAAAATGGTTTGGTGGAACTAAGGATGTATCCCGTAAAATTTGCGGGCCATATTGTTCGGTGCCTACCTGCTATGTTCAGATCAACAGGTGCCCTTCCCGAGGCTAGGTTGCCACAAGCCCCTTGCATACTAATGTTAGCCATACTGCTTTCCTATGTTTTAATCCCTCCTACTGTGACTACTGTGATCTTGTTTTCGGATATATTTATCCATACTATCCTCTTTCCTGCCCCAGGTTGACACCAGTCGCCCTTTTGTGGAAATCTTCAAGGAGATGGAATTCGACGACTGGTGGGATGAAGCGGATTTGAAAAGTGTTTATAAATATTTGAGGGGATGCAAGGGGTTGAAAATTCCCGCTCAGTACAAGCCATTGTTACCCACTACAATCTAGTTTCCAAGAGTGGGAATAATTCAATAGCACAAAATTCTTGTATCGAGATCAAATTTGGGTGAAAAAATCTGGGCGGAAATCGGCGGGAAATGGGCGGAAATCGGCGGGAAGTGGGCGGAACTACCCGGATTGAGATTTTATAACTTTTTTCAAAACACCAAACATCATTTTTGTGGAAGGGATTTCATGGTTTTAGGACCGCATTTGTGAAGTTACTCTTCATCTTGAGTGTTCTAGCGGTATTTGGGCTCAGTGTTGGGATAGATGCAAGAGCTACCCAGTCGGGCGTGGTCTTGCCAAACCCTCCAGCGGGGCCTCAACCTTGTTGAGACCTTACCCATGTCTTTGGGTTCCTGCCGAGAGCCGGATGTGGCGGCAATGGAAGCAGAATTGGCTGCTTTAGAGGCCCCCAAATTCGGGTACCCCAAAGCCTTTCAACCAATATACCACCAAAGATTCGGGGATAAGTTACAACAGGTTGTATGGGAAGTTTGGGATAATCCTGGGGGGTGTTTGGAAGAATGTTTGTATAAAATATGTTGTGATATTTGAAGTTCGGTCAAGTAACCCCATTATGTTTACAACCAATTCAACAGCCAGTCCCAGGATTGTGAGAAACAGCTGCCACCTTATCATTCCAGATACTGCCCGTGTAAAAGATTAAAGAACAAGGGAAAGTTGAAGTATATATATACTATGTAGGGAACCTTTTTTTGGGGAATCCATGGCTTGGCAATACATAGACACAATGTCCATGATAACTTGTTGGAGGCATGGGGGTCGCATTTGGCCCTACCTCACTTGGAGTCGCGCTTGCCCCTACTGAAGGGGGAGGTAGGGGCGCAGCTGACCCTAGGGTAGGGGCGAATGTGACCCGACTTGGTTTTGCGTGGCAGGCGCAATAGATTTGAGGTTCAGTTCACAGCCAGAAGAGAGTCTCGAGAACATTAAGAGTGTCTTGCAAGTTCTAAAAAGAGAGTAAGAACGAAGCATCAAGAGTGTATGGCAAGTGCCACGAAGAAGTTGCCTACGTAGCATCAAGAGCGTCTGGCAAGGTCCAAGAAGAAGTTAACTACGTAGTATCCAGAGTGTCTGCCAAGTTGCAAGAAGAAGTTACCTACGTAGTATCCAGAGCGTCTGGCAAGTTCCAAGATAGATAGAGAAATGGGGCATAGGGTATCTTGGGGAATGTGTGAAGTTAAGAATAACTCTTTAATTTCTGACCACTTTATGAAATAGGAACGTATAGTAGTACACACAAGGTCATCTCCCGTTGAAAAACATTCCATAGACCCCATTGACTGTTTTGATCGCGTAATAGAAACATCATTAGTTGTAGAAAGATAGACAGATAGATAGATAGGTAGATAGATAGATAGATAGATAGGTCATACCCCCATAGATAGATAGATAAATAGATAGATCGATAGATAGATAGAAAAATAGATACATAGATAGATAGATTCCCCCAAGTCCCCCCCTGCCCCCCCTTAAACCCCGGTCCCCAGGTCCCCCCCTAGGTTAAACCCTAAAAGGTATATGAGTGAGGTAGGGGCGAATGTGACCCTAGCTGGGGTAGGGGCGAATGTGACTCTGAGGCAGGGGCGAATGTGAACCCCGTGCCCCTTGTGGGATCCCTCAGATGCATTTTTGGTTTTCATCCCCTATGGGCCTTGTAAATTTTACCTTCTATCAGAATTCCACTTTCATGGGTGTACCCTTCCAATTATCTAACTTTCCTGGGGTAATACTGGGTAATCCATCATTCGCTGACAGGCTGAAGAAAATGCATTTTGCCACCAGACTTCAGCGCCACCGCCACCCTCACGAGCGGAGCCTGCGCCAGCTTTGCCGCCTGATTCTTCTGGTCCTGGTGCTGACAGCTCGGTGCCAGCTTCGGGGGCCAGTCAGGAGAGTTCTTTCATGGAGACCCAGGTGGATGAAACCCCACTTCCCAAGAAACCTTCCTTCATCGATTTGGAGGACAGAATGGTTGTGAAAGAAAATGGTTCAAGTTGATTCTTTATCTACTGTATTTGCCCAGTCCCGAGATTTAGAGTTAATACCACCCAGGACAACAGGGGTTAGGATTTGGGGATAGGGTCCCAACCCACAAGATAATAAATTATAAATAGTTACTGAAAAGATGATGTGATTGATCCAAGATTATCTGAAACTATCTGGGGCTTGATATATTGTCGATTCCGGGGATGATCATGTTGAAACCAAATTCCTGTCCAGGATGACGATGAGAAATTCTCTGAGGTGCCACAGGATGCCCAGACTCCATTTACTTATCAGGCACGTACCCCGTACTATTCCCCGCCGAAGGATGATGATCATGATGACTCTCCCATGGAGGATACATCCTCGAAGGAGGCCGAGGTTGAAGCCAGGGCCGACCCCTCCAAGGAGGATGCCGTAGCCAAAACTCTAGAGTTTCCAAATGAAGAGCCGCATGAACCCGTCACCCAGGAGGATGCCGTAGCCAAAGCTTTAGAGGTTGAAGGTGAAAAGCCACATGAACCCGTCACCCAGAGAGCCGACAGGTTGGTTGCCCCATACGTGATCGCCAAACCCACCAAAAGGCCTGGGGTAGAATTGAGCCAGGGTGCGATCTACAAACGGATGAACCGAATTTTCACACCGAGATCTGATGGGACATATTTGGTGGATGAAGAGTTTGTTCGCAAGTGGAAAAATTTAGACACCCGTGACGAGCTCAACATCTTATTTGAGAAGTGCGACTACCAACCCGACACTAGATTGTTTTTAGTCCTCGGTTTTACAGTGAATGTTGGGTAGGGGAGCGTGCTTTCCCATAGCTTGCTATTCTTGCTGCTTCTGCTCCGCCCTGATTCTAAGGAACAATTTATTCGGCGATGTCGCCGTATCACGCAGGAGATTGACGAATCGTGCTTGGATGTGGAACACCAGTTCCTGACTGTAGGGGATATGGAGGAGAAAGGGTACTCGCAGTTCCTCATCTTGAAGGAAACATTTTATCAGACAAATTTGCCACAAAATAATGGATCTTTTGTCGACTTTTTTCCACATTGAGTCACATTGTCTACTTTGATCCTTGGGTCGTGCTGCTGCTACAAGGTCGAAAATCGATGGCATCAAGGAGTTCTGCAAGCAAGATGCTTCGCTGACCAGGACATACTTAGAAAAAAGTGGAACTGCACATACGACGTGGCCACTAGATGTAGCTCCAAACTTTCAATTTGAAACCAATGCCCCAGCCACAGATTTGGCAGGAAGTCAAAGTACGGTGGCGGTGACATGTATTGGGTCGAAGTTGCCATCAAAGGCAATGAGAGGCCCGATAGCTGAACCATCTTCAAATTAACAGTGCTTTCAATCGTTTTGAACCTATTCGAAATCTTTAATCCCACAGGCATATCCGCCGCAATCTCCTCGAGAAGGAGCTGCAGTGGGACGAGAAGGCGAAGGACAAGGATGACCTTAGGACACTGGGCACATCGTTGGCCAATCCCACTGAGGCTTTGCGCAACCTGCTTCAAAGTTTGACACATGTCTTTCCATGACTCAGTGTGAAAAAGAATCTGGAAAGATGTTTCTCTTTTTTTCCCAACACTAAAGCCATATTGCAATACACCGTACTCTCCCCAATAGCTGTGTAAATATAATATACATAATATATATATACTATATTAAATATATATTCTATTATATTTAATTTAATTTAATGAATATATTTTCATCCCATACACTCTTCCAGGAATTGGCTATATATAGATATATCTTCCATATATCTTCCATATAATACAGAACATCTACCCCATAGACTGCATCTATTGACAGCTGAGGTGATTTGGATGATTCGGCCGCTCATGGGGCCGTTCCCATGACCCCGGTTGCTGCTGTGAACACGGACATCGTGAAGGCTTTGAGGCAAACAGGCTTTCCCGATGTTGAATCCAAAGCTACCCCGTCATCTTTGGCAACAAAGGTCATTGCCACCATTCAAAAGAGGTTGAACAAATTGGAGGAAATGGCAGGGAAGATCACAGATGTTGCAGCACCTAGTCGAACGGACCTCATGAATAAGACCCTAGGGTCCAATTTTAATGGACAACGTTTGCTGTCAACCCCTTCAACTCTGTCCTTTGGATGGTCCATGTGTTCAAACCAATCACCTGATTTGATGGGGTATAAGGATGCTGGAAAAGATCGTCAACATCAAGAATCTCTTGAGCAGCCAGCTGGACACCCTGAACGATCTCTACAGTAGGGGGCTGCTTGAGGGAAGTTCTGAGAAGTTCCTCAGCTGTGCTAGTGGGTGCCAGCATTGCCCAGTGCTCCCCAGAGGACCCTGCCACATCGCCCAGGATTGAAAATGAGATGAAGGAGACCATGCTCAGCGCCAGGAAGTTGCTTCACCCTGAGCAGAATTCTTTCAGCTCAAACTTGTGGCACCCATCACATCCCTAACAAACTCCAGGGTTTCCATGCCGAAGGTCTGTGGATAGCATCCTTTTGGAGCCACGAGTCAGGCCCCACACTTAGTACTTGGATCAATGAGTGGTGTTGCCCCACACTTTTTCACAGGACCAGTAGTGGAATTCAAATGTTCTCAGTTAGGTCGATCATCTCTGATTTTGAACGACTTCGCCAGAAGCGCCTCGCTGATGAAGCTCGAAATTCTGGACCGCCCAACAAAAGGCCAAAATGCAAGCCCAGACCTAAGCCGCAGCCTAAGGCTGGGGGGAAGGCTGCGGCAAAGAAAAAGGCTTGAAAAGGCCTTGGAACACTTGGGGTTTTAAGAGTCATACGCACGAGCTGACCACGTGTGACGGTTCTCTCTTTTGCTCCACATGTCACAGTACATGTGTGAAGGTCAATTTGACTTGCATACAAAGTCGCTCTTTGACAATCCAGTGGCCGATGAGAAAAATGTTTCAAAACCAATGTGGGATAAGTTTTCTGTTTTACTTGGGGGGATGGACTCCCTGTAAGTTCACCAAATACTTTGCCAGGTGTCGAACCTGACAATGCTGAAAATGGTCCGATGATGGAACACTGGGCAGAAGAAATGGGCCTGGGTGCTGGGCTCCAAGTAAAATCCAGATTCCAACTCGCAACGTGATTTCAACTTTGAAAACCAAACATGGGAATTCTTTCGTGCTTTGAGTACAGGGGACCTACGAAACTATTTGCAAGCCACTGCTATAGAATATGTTTGGGTGGGTCAGAACCGGAGCCCGTGCCAAGGCCACGGCCACTTCCATTGCCCGATCAGTTCAGGCTCGTCGAGAAGAGGTTCATGGAAGTGCAGCCTCGAAAACGGATGATCGGGTCAAGTGGAACGCAACACGGAATATCACTCGCATGCTGAACCGGGCCGGTATGGCCATAGAAGTACCAAGGGAAATTTTGAAATATGAAATTCAAGATGGATCTGTTATTGAGCTCCCTGTTGTCAAGCCTAGTTCTTGGTTGCAATTGATTTTGAAAAAGTATCCAGAGCTGCTCTTTCCTCAAAACAACATGGAAGAGGAGCTGCAAGTGTTCTGGAACCATTACAGGTTCATCCAACCCAACCACGAAATTTTCAAATCACCACCGGAGCAGTTGAAACGAACATTGCCGATTTTAGTTCATGGCGACGAAGGTCGGTATTTGAAAAAAGGGAACTACCTCATTGCGACCATAGAGATGATGTTGGGGTCTACACCTACAAAGCTAAAAGAGTGCTGTTGTGAGGCCGACCCAGTGCTGGAGCGATATCCTGAGGTGCACAATGATGAAGGCAATATCTTCTCTAGAAGGGAATGCGAAGTAGCATCCAAACAGCTGGTAAACCTGAGTGGAAACTGCTTCTTGTCCAAATACTTGCTGTTTGGCATGGCTTCTCAACAATACAAAGCTCATCCTGACTTGGTCCACCAAGCCATGGGTATGGTGTCGGAGGATTTGGCTTCGTTGCATTCCCAAGGGTTTCGTCTGGGATCCGAACAATATTTTTGCGCAACTTTGGGGGTGAAAGGAGACCTCAAATTTCACTTTCAGATGGGGCACTTGACCCGCACATATCTGAACACTGGAACTACAAACGAAAATCCTGTTTGCTCGCTATGTCTAGCCGGGTCACCCGGATTTCCGTTCGAAGACTTGGGCCCATTGCCAAGATGGCAAGACACTATGTTTAGTGAGAAGCCTTGGAACCACGAGCCCGTGCTGGTTCAAATACCATTTCAACATGGGCAGGAGGAAGCCCTCTTTCGGTTCGATTGTTTTCACTGCTGGAAGCTAGGCGTTGGCCGCGACCTGGTGGGCTCAACTCTGGTGTCCCTTGCATTGCTGAGGTATTATGATTTTGACGAGGATGATACCCAGAATTTGCCTGACAGACTTGACCGCTGCCACTCCCATTTTCGTTTGTGGTGCCAGGCCTCCGGGAAATCCCCAGCCCTACATTATTTTTCCCAGGCCTTGTTCAACAGCCCGAACCAACGCAGCTTTCCATGGGCAAATGTCAAAGGTTCCGACTGTATGCTGCTGACATCCTTTTTGCTGTTTCTCGTCAATGTAGCTATCAAGAACGGCTCGGTGAAGGAGGGTCACCTTGTTTTTTTCAAGATCATCAAGGAGACGCTGCAATCTGTGGAAGTGTTCTTCAGCATACTGTACTCACATGGTTTGTGGTTGTCTCGGAAGTGCGGGCAAAGAGTGCTCCACCACTTGATGGTCATGCTGAAAGGTTACAAACGACTAGCCCATGAATCTGCAAAGTTGGACCTGGTAGCTTATTCGCTGAAACCAAAACTCCATTCTATGAGACACATTGCTGGGGACATCGAAAACCAATTGCGTTCGGGAGCTCCCAAAATTTTGAATATTTTGGCTTTTTCTTGTGAACCAAATGAAGATATGGTAGGGCATGTTGCTCGGTTGAGCCGCCGGGTGAGTGCCAGAACAGTAAACCACCGAGTTTTTGACCGCGTGTGCATTAGGATGAAAACATTGTGGAAAAAGAAACGGAAGCATTCTGGGATTTGAACATGGCCACTTCACCACGATTTGAAGTCTCGCTCCAGCCGCGTTTGAAGAAATTGAGCCAATGTTGGAAGCTGGGGGGCGGAGAGGGTGATGCGTGGACCAAGGGTTGATCTAACCCCCTTTCAAAGTTTCATTGGCAAACTCCAAATGGTCAATTTTGCATCAAGATGTCCAATCTGAAGGAATTGAACAAAAATTCTTGACCATTAGCATGTGGGCTGAAAAAAGTCACCTGTGGATTTTGTAGGTATATATTATACTTATATGTATATACCTAGACCCTCCGTTTGTATGCTTAAACAGGGTGTCTTACCCCATCATGTTAGTATACTTTTACCATTTTCTTGGGATATAAACGTAGGTTACCAGAGGGTACATGCAAAATCCATATTGATGTCCATTGATCCAGAGGTCAAGTCCCCGTAAGTAGCCCTGTAGTTCACATCAAAATAGATGATAAAAAATGGGTATTGATGGGTATAAAAATGGTATAAGAATGGTATCATCATCCCTAAAAATTGTATAAACATTGTATAAAAATGGTATCATCATCCCTAAACATTTTTATAAACATGGTATAAAAATGGTATCATCATCCCTAAAAACGGTATAAACATGGTATCATTATCCCTAAACATGGTATAAAAATGGTATCATCATCCTGAAAAAATGGTATATAAATGGTATAAACATGGCATCATCATCGCAACAAATGGTATAAACATGGTATAAAAATGGTATCATCATCACTAACAATGGTATAAACATGGTATAAAAATGGTATCATCATCCCTAAAAAATGATATAAATATGGTATCATCATCCCTAAAAATAGTATAAAATTGGTATCATCATCCCTAAAAAATGGTATAAACATGGTATCATCATCCCTAAAAAATGGTATAAAAATGGTATCATCATCCCTAAAAATGGTATAAAAATGGTATCATCATCCCTTAAAATTGTATAAAAATGGTATCATCATCCCTAAAAATGGTATAAAAATGGCATCATCATCGCAAAATGGTATAAACATGGTATAAAAATGGTATCATCATCCCTAAAAATGGTATAAAAATGGGTATTGATCCATGGCCATTTCTTGATAGGTTGCTCCTGTTGATTTTTTATCTCCGTGGAAACTCATCTCCAAAAAATCCCTGGTTTTGTTTGGATGGGAAGAATACGGGAAAAGATTCTTCCCAACTAGAACACCAACTATTCCCAACTAACATAAGTATTGAACATGGCCATAGAAGGGTTGATTTACCTATTTACTATGAACGGGGGAATGGGGTTGTAAACCATTATGAACCATTCTAGATTCTAGCCACTACTAGCCATCATAAACCATTTTATTAACCGCTAAATATTCATGAAATATAATAATTTACATATATATATATATATGTCTACATTAAATACTATTAAATTAAACAACTATAATACAACTGTAACCCCATGAAAAGCGCAGAGTTATGGCCCAACTAACAGCTATAAATGGAATGAAATAACTCCTGCAACTAGGGTTATATATAATGAAATAAAACAATTTATGGCTGTTTTGGGCCAGAACTGCAATAAATCACTATAAATCACAATATATATCATCCCAATATCATCCCAATATCATCGCAATATAATCCCATATAAACTACATTAAACCATATTAAACATCATTAAACCACATGAATTCCAATGAAGTCCCATGAACTCCCAGTAAACTCCCGAGGAACGGTCGCCTCTGGGAGGATGAGGCTTCGCTGGCTTCGCAGGCGGTGGATAACATGCAGGAGCAGGGGTCTTCCGCATGTTTTTTCGGATTTGGAATGGCCATAATATAATTAATAGTGACTAATAGTGTAGTAATTAATGGGATGGTTAATGGGATGATTAATGGTTAATAGGTTAGTGAAATATTATAATTTACCCAGATAATATTATACCATGATTATCAATTGGTACCATAGTAACTGTTCTTAACCAAGATGAAATTGACATTGCTGATGTTGAAATGTGTTGAATCCTTGCAATGTCTTGAAACTTAAGCTTTACATATATATGGGTAAATTATAACGACCTCACTGTTCTCCCTCACTGGAATCATGGTTAGGATTCAGGAAATCATCCCCAAGTGGCCCAACAATTCAGGTTAGTGAAATATTGTAATTTACCCAGATAGTATTATACCATGATTATCAATTGGTACCATAGTATGGTACTATGACATAATATAATATTATACCATGGTATACCATATATATATGGTACTTTTTACTATAACATAGATATCATTCCCATATTATACAATAGTATACCATATATATATATATTATACCATATGTTATTTTTGGTATAAACATTTTTGGTATAATGAATATAATAAATCATATTATGGTATACCATGGTATATTGGTATAATGAATCATTCTGGTTGGTGGTTTGGAACATGAATTTTATGTTTCCATATATTGGGAAGAACAATCCCAACTGACTTTCATATTTTTCAGAGGGGTTGAAACCACCAAGTAGGTATTATTTATGGATTTGTATATAACTATATATATATATGTAATATATTGTATACTATGGTATACTATGGTATTTTATATTGGTAAAGCTGCACAATATATTATGGTATAATATGGTACACTATCTATAGATATTTGCCACATGGTATATGGTACATGTTACATATGAATCTGGTATACAGTATCTGGTATAATAGTGTATATACATACTGCGATGTACATATATATATATAACGGTATAATATTGCCATAATAATATATTCTATAATATGGTATAATACCATTTTCTTGCCATATACAGATCCATTTTATTGGATTTTATTGGTATATAATATGGTATAATATACAGATAAAAATTGGTATAATATGCAGAATGGTAATATAATGTACATATAATGCGGTACATATAATGGTATAATATTGTATATACAGATCCATTTTACAGTATGTTGTACAGTGTACAGTATTATGGCATATATATTTTACAGTATTTCGGATTTGCCATGCACTTTTTGAATTCTAGTGACCTCACTGGAATGATGGTGATTCGGGAAAATCTTTCAACAAAAACCCATGGATGTACCCTTACTAAGTCCCAATTTAATTTTGATGCAACGTATTGCTGACTAGGGGAACATCTACAGGAGAATCCATTCATCCATGGGAGTTTGGCCAAAAAAAGATGGAAATCTATGTCAATCCCATCGAAAATAAGATTTTACGCGGATTTTCCAATAGGATTTCAATGGAATGTTGTTTTGTTTTGGGACTTGACGGGATTTGGGAACCTCCCAGATTTGTATTGAGGTCAAGAAAAATAGTTCTAAGCACTGACCATATCGATACATCCGTTATAGTATCTATTAGTTATCAAGCGTTGGAGATGGTGTTAAATAGTTGATCTTCCCAGAATTGTTAAAAAGCGGTTCATAACAATAGTTATAATCCAGTTCCAATCCATTTATAGATGGGATTTTCACATGGATAAACCAGAAATCTAGGGGACGAACCCTGGGCCTAGGACTATGAAAAATAACCAGCGTTACGATTCGGATGACGTGGGATGATTCTCAGCCAATCGGGATGTTTTTACATGGCTAAAGGTACAACATAATAACTATAACTATAGCTGATAACTAGAATAGACTGGGGTTATGGCCATAGTAATGCAATGTACATAGCTATTATATAGTTATGGCCAAGACTGGGCTTTGATATACGAACATAGCAATGTTTCATGGAAAAAAGACCTCCAGGACTGTGGTCTTTTCCCATTTTTTTCGCACTTTCCGAGCGCTTCATCCGCTTCATCCTCCGGAAATGTCCTGTTGTCCCTGAATCCAATGATCCAGTGAACAATCATTGGGCATGGTTTTGCTTCTATTCGTCTTGACTGCTTGGTGGTGACTGGATCCATGGAATTTTGAATGACTTTCCATTCAGTTGGGACTGATCATCCCAACTGACTTTCATATTCTTCAGAGGGGTGGCTCAACCACCAACCAGTATATTCCAGTTGATCACAGTGACTATGGAGGTATCTCAGGTCCTGTGGATACCCCAAGTCACCACAAGTATCGTATTCGTTCAGTACGACATTAGGAAAATGCTCATCCATGACTCGGCCGATTTGTGGTCCCCCTAGGAGGGCGGGCCAGACCGCAAGGCCCCGGAGGTAGTCTGAAATACCTGTTCGTATATTTAAAAATCCGTATATTTAAATGTAGTTATGTATATATACGCACGGCCCAAAACTCCATACAAGACTCACAAAACAACTCCTCTTCAGGCTAAGGCTTGAAAAAGAAGAAACATAAGTCCTGGCGTGATTTTGTCATTTTCCAGTCACATGCTCATGACATCTCGCGTCCGAGGAGCTAGGCCCGACCTTTGTGAAGTTGGGACAGGTGCTGTCCATCCGTCCCGATGTCTTGCCGCCAAAGACCATGAAAGAACTGGCGCGGCTGCAGGACGCTGCGATTCGGACGAAGATGGAGGTTGACGCCGGATCTGGCCAGAAATCCAGGCAAAATTCACGCAAACCAAGAGATTTTTACGAGATTTTATGAGATTTTAAGATATGTTTTGAGATGTTATGAAATGTTATGAGATTTTAAGATATGTGTTGATGATGTCTTTTTGCTTCAGACAGATTCATGTTGAAATGGGGCCATTATGGGTCATCCATTTTGTAGGAGTATTCACTGCCCTTCGGCCATTCAGTGGGAGGCGATGAAAGGTGGTCCAAAAGACATGATCTGGTTGGTGCTTTCAAACATGTGTTTTTTCCATAATATATGGGATAGTCCTTCCCATTGACTAATATTTTTCAAGATGGTTAAAATCACCAACCAGTGATTGGATGGGACGTGAGTGTGGCTAATATATCTGTGGCATGCTGCTATGGACTGTAGACACCTTGACTAACCTTGACTCTTGGTGGCAGGACGACATTGAGACCTTTTCCAACGAGGAAGCGCGAAAGGTCATCGAAAAGGACCCCACAATGGTGCTTTTAAGTGGATATATTACCATAGGGCCTTAAGTTGGGTTTATATCCCAGCTTATGGAGATTACCAACATGGTTGTACCCACGTATGACCCAAAAAGCACCACCGAACGCAAGATGTTAGGATCTCAAAATCTCTCAAACGAACGGACTCGTGGCGCAGGTGTTTCTGACTTTGGTTCAGGTTGCAAGGTCTTATGGGCTCCTATGCTGGGGCTCAGTATAAACATTACAATTGTCGTGATTCCATCTCTCTGATTTTGGGAGAAAAGATTCCCAATGTCAACCAAAATCCGAGACCAGCAAATTTACACAAGTTGCTTGAACCTGCAAGCTAGAGACGCTACTCTAGTGTACAGTACCCTTCCTTTCCCGTTCTCCAGAAATCAATGGATGATGATGCGTACCCTCTGGTAAACTAACACAACTATGGAAAATCACCATTTGTAACGGGTAAATCAACTACAAAAGCTGCGTATGTTAAATTACCAGAGGGTAGTGTATGAACCAGGATCAGTCATCTTTAGAAGCCTGCCGCAGTGTCTCTTGACAGCGCAACTGAGACTCACTCTGTGGTTGTTCACACCCGAAACGGTGGCTCCAGTTTCTTGATGTTGGCTGAAAGAAAGTTATTGATGTTCCTAGACCCTCCAAATACCGCAGCAAAAGTGGTAAAAGTCCTGACATTATTTGATAAAACACAATTTTTTAAGGTACTTCCAGGATTTGGCATAAAATGTGCTTCCAGGATCACTAGAACTATAGGATTTTGATGGTTTTTGGTTCCGCCCCAGGCGTTCCAGGCAGCACCTTTTTGGGAAGCTCCCAGCCCCCTCCCAGGAGATGGGAAAACCTGTGGATGAGATCTTTTCAAGCTTCTCAGAGGTGCTCTGCGGGTACCCTGTGTTGAGGCAAAGAAACATGTCAGTCATATGTTGTTGCAGTATGTCACAATGGCCGTGCATGTATTATAAAGTTATTATACTATACATACATCAGTGTACTGTGTATATATATAGATACATATATATATATATATATATATGTACAATAACAATAACAATAACAACAATAATAATGACAATAACAATGTTGACAATAATGACAATAAAATAACAATGATAATAGTAATAGTAATAGTAGTAATACTAGTAACAGTAGTAATACTAGTAACAGTAGTAATACTAGTAACAGTAGCAATACTAATCATACTATCATTATGTAATGATGTTATATGTTTATAAGTATAGACAGTTAGTTTACCAGAGGGAGAAATGTTTCTTTTCAAGTATTTCAGGGTGCCATGTTTATTGAAAAGCAGATTTTCCAGCTTCAACTTCTCCAAACACGGGCGATATCCCTTATATCTTTCCTTTCCACTACTTTTCCCATGAAAGTGGACCACAAAATGTCAAAAATATGTACTGTAACTAATTTCTTCTTCTCACTGAAGCTTGTAATTGAATACCCTCGTGCCATAACGATTGAGTCGCTTGTGTAAGATCAATCGCGCATATTAGGTACTGTATGGGTAGTATGTAGACATGTTATGACATGATAATAGCAATGCAGCAATGCACCTTCCATCCACTTCAGGGCGATCATTATTCTGGTGTATTTCCCATCTACCCTCCGGCAATTTGACATAGCGACGATTATCAATTTACAACCATTTATAGAAATTTCTAGCTGTTTTACATTGATTTACCTATTGTAAATGGTGAAGAAAATCCATAGCTATCTCAATTTGCCGGGTGTTTGCTGGGTGTTTGGTCCACTTTTCCATGGCGTTTGTTCTCCCCGCGCTGCACTCGACCTCCAGGAGCCCATTGCTGCGGCATCACTGGCGCAAGTCTACCGGGCAACGCTGCGGGAGACGGGACAAGAAGTGGCCGTGAAAGTTCAGAGGTGCCCCGGTCTGCAATTGGCGCCTTTGGAAAATCTGGAGACCTGAAGAATACCCTCTGGTTATGTTAAAGTAGCTATTGAACATGGCCATTTATAGTGGATTTACCCATTGAAAATGGTGAACAATTCCATAGCTATGTTAGTTTACCGGAGGGTATATGAGAAAAGTGATGGTTAGTAAGGGAAATTATTTCGAAATGGCAGGAAAAATCAGATTTTGGTGAACTTTTTGTTAAATTATTATATGGTAACACCATTTAAATATGTGGAGGGCGGGCCAGACCGCGAGGCCCCAGAGGTAGTATGAAATACCAGTTCGTATATTTAAAAGTCTATTGAAATGTAGTTACCGTAGTTCATCCAGATGAATATCAACAGCCTCCTTTTTGGGAAAACAAAGGGTGCGGTTACGGTTTGATATATCCTCCATTGGTATCAATTGTTACTATCAAACAGATTTGTAGATCTAACAACCAGATAAATAACCCACAATTGTAATCTGTTATGATCTACCTATTGGTTGTTAGAGGAGGCGAAGCCTCTACCAACAATCAACCAGTGGGAAACAACAATTTTTCAGGATCTTTCACCATCCCAAGAAATGCTAAAGGATGTCTGAGGTACAGAATGGGGCCCCCAAGATAGCTAAGTTGCCTTGTAAGTGGCGAACAAACTATGGCTTATGGTTTATAAACCAGCTTATGGCGTAAGTTAATGGGAGTTATAATGGTTTATAAACCAGCTTATGACTGCGGGGCCTCATCCTTGTATGAGGTATTTTCATGTATCTTGGAATGATCTGCCATGTGCCCCACATGGATGTCATATCCCATTGCAATCCCCTTGACGCTCCAGCAGAGCAGCTTTGTTCGTTAAAACGGCTTAGCCTTGTCCCACAGGTTCCACAGATTGAGATTAAATGGGATGTGCTAGATGCTAGAGATGTGGAGAGCATTTAGCTGGCTCTTTCAGCTGCACGAAGATGTCAGTTGTGATTTTTGTTTCTGCGTTGGACCCTGGCCCTGTTAGCTGTTATTTCTCGTTGTAGACACTTTGGATTGTCACAATACTGACGTAAGGGACCTCTATGCGGCGTGCTCACTCGTCGGTCGTCATGGTAACACTAATTCGTTTCTCTCTTTGAAATGTCCATCCTGCTAGTGGGTGTAAGTTAAGTTGATGGTTAGCTGCGTGGAAGGCCAGTTGTAATTTTTCCGGTGTTGGACCCTGACTCCGTTTGCTGTTGCTCTCCTTGGTGGAACGATGAAGCGCAGTTCTGACTGGGGGAACTGCGACAAAAACGACCTTATGTTTTTTTTTGAGGGGGGGCAAAGTCTCTAAGATGACATGTTTGTGAGATAACTGGCATTCTCCCCCAGTTTTAAAAACCTGCCTTTTGAGTCGTACTTTGTCTACGATTTTGACCAGCCTCAGCCGAGATGATGATCGGGGGAATAACTGGAATAACCAGCTACGGGTAGGCTTTTGACCAAAACATCCAGGCATCGCCGGTTTGATGATTAGTTTGGGCTAAGATAACTACCTAAGATAGCATTATCAGTCATCATAATCCATAGGTTTCCAAAAATGGTGGATCCCCTAAATGGATGGTGTATAATGGACAATCCTAGAACAATGGATGATTGAGGAGTACTTCGATTTTTTGGAAACCTCCATATCTATACTATTTGATCATATCTGGATAAATAGAATAACGCCCTCACTGTTTTCCGTCGAATGATGGTTAGTGGCTGCAACTATCCCAAAATGGCAACGTATATTTAGGTTAGTGAATTATGAAGTCATTTACAGTAGCCAGATATGATCAGATTATATAGTCCATATGTATGTGTGTATAATATAATATATATTATATATATATACATATTATACTTAAATTATAGCGACCTCATGTCGCGACCTCACTGGAATGATGGTTAGGATTCGGGTAACTATCCCGGTATATAGCTGAACATTTCAGCTTCGTTAAATATTGCAATTTACCCAGATTCATGGAGTATTAGCCATGACGAACCATGATTAGCCATGATTCGCACTTATTAACCATTATGAATCACTATTAACCACCATCAACCACTATCAACTACCATGAAACACTATTAACCACAATTAACCACTATTAACCACTATTAACCACTATTAACCACTATTAACCACCATTAACCACCATTAACCACTATTAACCACTATTAACCACTATTAGCCACCAATTGCCATGAACCTCTATTATCCATGGCAACTACTATTCACCATCAATAAGATTCAATAAGCATATGACTACCACGGGGAACATCTCGGCCAGGCCAGGAGCTTTAAGCACAGTCTCCAAGGCGGGTGATTTTTGGAGGGAGTTTTCTCCATAAAAATTCCATGAACATTCAGGGATTGTCATATGGGGTGGCAAATCGTAGGTATTGACAAATCGTACGTATGATGCAAGAACATGTACAAACTGAATTGACAGAGTTTGAGGAAAATTGAGGAACGCTATGATACATAGAGGAAATTCATCCCCGAAAGTGGAAATTTCATGATCTTATCATAGTTGTTCCTATTCAACATTGCCATTTGGGAGGGAAAAACGACAGTTTTTGACGTTTTTGGATCGGACAAAGTGTCACGTTTTTGTGGACGACATCGACTCGGAGCACTGGATGTAATCATATAATTTTGGAGACATTCCGATATGTGGTTTCTATATATTTCTATACTATAATGTGGTTAAAACAATGCCATAAACCAAGCATTTAATGGATTTTAATGTTTTTTTTACTTTTAAAGGATTTTTTTTTACTTTTAAAGGATTGGTTTAGGTGGGAAAATCTTAACCGGAAACCATGGGAATTTTCCCATGACATACTAAGCCAATCCGACCTCGTGAGTGCAATGCTGAAGAGACCCAGCGTAGCGATAACGCTTCCCACTTTAAGCTAATGACTAAAGATGGCATACTACGACTACCATGCGCACATAATACGCATAATATATATATGTAGACAATTACATAATATAATGTATGTATGTATGTATGTATGTATGTAATGTAATGTAATGTAATGTAATGTAGTGTAATGTAGTGTAATGTAATGTAATGTAATGTAATGTAATGTAATGTATGTATGTAATGTATGTAATGTATGTAATGTATGTAATGTATGTAATGTATGTAATGTATGTAATGTATGTAATGTATGTAATGTATGTAATGCATGTAATGCATGTAAAAAATGTAATGCATGTAATGTATGTAATGTATGTAATGTATGTAATGTATGTAATGTATGTAATGTATGTAATGTATGGAATGTATGGAATGTATGGAATGTATGGAATGTATGTATGTATGTATGTATGTATGTATGTATGTATGTATATGTATGTAGTATGTAATGTATGTATTTATGTACTGTATTTATGTATGTAATGGTATGTATGTATGTATTATGTATGTAGGATGTATGTATGTATGTATGTATGTATGTATGTAGTATGTATGTATGTATTTCTTGTATGTATGTTATTGTATTTATTATGTATGTATGTCTTTATGTTATTGTATGTATGTCTGTATGTATGTATTTTCGTGATGTTCTGTATTTATTTTCTTATGGTTTTCTGTTATGTATTTTATTGTATGTATTTGTATTTATTTTCTTTATGTTCCTTTGCTGTTAATTTATTGGTATTTTCTTTTCTTTCTTTTATTTATTTGTATTTATTGTATTTATTTCATTTCTTTTCCTTTATTGTTTATTTCTTTTTCTTTATTTCTTTCTTGTTCTTTTCTTTTATTCATTTCTTTCTTTCTTTATTTTCTTTATTTACTTTATTTCGTTATTTCTTTACCTCTCCCTTTTACCATAGTATCCTGTTGAGTCCTGTTGCAGTAAAACAACATGGAACATGAAACCTAAAGCCAACTATTTCCTAGCGAGCCGCAAGCAATCCTTTCTTTGCTTCGCTCTGTGAAATTTGAGCAGTTTTCTCCTGGTTTAATCCCAATTGTTGTTGATAAACTAACAATGTTCATTAATCATTTCCCCCCAATATTAAGCAATCCCTTTGGAAACCATGGTTTAGTACCCAAATTCCACATAACTGGGACCATTTAGGGGGTGTTTAATATTAGGGGGAGGTGATTATTGTTGTTTGTTACCCCTTAATCCCAATTATTTGCTGCTGAAACCTCATGGTTTATACATGTTTGTTGGCCTCCTACGACATGAATCCCAATTTCTGCCGGGTAAGTGTCCATCTTATGTTGGTTGAAACCAGCGCACATTGTGCTGGTGAAATCTCCTGTTGATCGAAGTTGTGATCTTGGCCAATTCCCCTCATCTTGCAATAACATTTGTGCGCGAATTTATAGCTGATTTACCTATGAAATTTATGAAAAATGGTGATTTTCCATAACTTTCTGTGTTAGTTTACCAGAGGCTAAGATTCTTGGTTGAAACATCTTGCGACCATTGGAGATGCTGCCCAGTTGGATGCCCATGTTGGAGATGCTGTTGAGAAATCCCCATGTTTGATGATACAATCCCCCTTTTTCTTGCTTCAACAAAAACCTCTTTCATTGATATTTGATGCAAATCCCATGGTTTTTGGCCGTTTTTTGTTAAAAACCACCCGGTGAAAGACCCCAGGACCTCTACGTCCTGCGTCGTTTGGCGGACGTGGTGCAGCCCTTGATCCGGCGCTTCACGGCGGATGAGACGGACCCAAGACGGCGAACGAGACAGGGCAAGCGAGATGTTACTACAGGGATGGCACAACTAACATGATATAAGTGATAAAAGTGACATAAGTGATATAAGCTATATAAGTTTTATAAGTTATAAAAGTTATATAGGTTGTAATTATAAGTGATATAAGTATAGGTTGTAATTATAAGTGATAATATAAGTGATATAAGCTATAAAAGTGATAAAAGTGATAAAACAAATATATATATATATAAAAGCTATAAAAGTGATAAAAGTGATACAAGATATAACATATATTTAAGTTATACAAGTTATATAAGTGATATACCTTATAAAAGTTATGTAAATGAAATAAGTTATAAGTTACATAAAATATATAAGTGATAAGAGTTATTTAAGTTATAAAAGTGATAAACAAATGTAAAAGTGAAAAAAGTGATATAAATGATACAAGTTATATCACTTATATAAGTGATAAAAAATATAAGTGATAAAACGTTATAGTGATATAAGTGATATATGTTATTTAAATTATACAAGTCATAAAAGTTATATAAGTTATAAAAGTGATAAAACAATATATAAGTTATAAAACTGATAAACGGTATATAAGTTATTTCACTTATATATGCGTTGTTTTTTTAGTGATAAAAGTGATATAAGTTTTAAAATTGATAAAAGTTATATCAGTTATAAAAGCGATAAAACTTATATAAGTTATAAACGTGATAAACATTTTATAAGTTATGAAAGTGATAACAGTTATATAAGTTATAAAATTGATAACATTTGTATAAGTTGTATAAGTTATAAAAAGTGATAACACTTATATAAGTTATAAAAGTAATAATACTTTAATAAGTTATAAAAGTGATAACAATTTTATAATTTATGAAAGTGATAAAAGTTATAAGAGTGATATAAGATATATAAGTTATATAAGTTATATAAGTTATATAATTATATCAGTTTTAAAAGTGATATAAGTTTTACAAGTGATATAAGTTATATACGTTATGTGCGTGATACAAGTTATATAAATTATAAGAGTGATAACTGTTGTATATGTTATATAGGTTATAAAAGTGATATACGTTATATACGTGATATAAGTTGTATAAATGGTATACATATAAGTGATATAAATTAATTTCAAAGTTTTATAAATAATATAGGTGATAACATATGTATATATATATGTGATATAAATTATTTAAGTTAAGAAAGTGATATAAGTGATATAAGTTTTATAAGTGATATAAGTTATAAATGGAATGAACATGACTGAAATCAGCTGTTGTAATATGTATCGAATAATATAAATGGAACATAATATGGAATGATAGTACTAAATGGAACAAAACAATTGTATAAATTATAAATGGAAAGGTTATATAAGTGGAATGGTTTTTATAAACTGTAATATTTATCGCATTATATAAAGCTTAGTTACCAACTAACAGTTCTAAATGGGATGAACCAGTTATGTTAGTTACACACGGGAAAAAACTCAAAACTAGAGTTATATACCATGTAGATATACAAACATAAATAAAGCCATATATATATAAACATATGATGTCTATGCTTATATGTGGTAATAGCAACGCTCATAATGATTACGTCCATGTGCAAGTGATGATAACGACGATAATGGTGACAATAATTTATGCTATGAGAATTCAAGGATTCTGCCATCACGACATGAGTCACTGATAGTCATTGTTGTTCGATCGATTTTGCCGTGCTGTTCGATGGGATCGAGAGGGAGATTTTGTGGAAACAAGAAAGGTCCTTTGATGAAAACACAAGGACAATTTGGCCACTAAAAATGTGCAAACATACTGCTATGATCAGGCTATACAGTTTCAACCAATATGTTTTTTTTTTCCTTGGGACATCTTGAAGAAGTGCATTTGTTGAAGTCTGTGACTATTCCTTCGCTCTCATCCTCTTCTGCGAAAGGATTACATTGCTCTCACGGAGACCTTTGCGGAAGGCCTTTACACAGAAGCTTGGGCCAAATGGGTGTGTCAGTGTCGCAGTCTGTCCAGCATTTGTGCTGGACAAACTGGGAATCTTCTGGATTTAAATAGATGTACCTCTGGTTACTGTATTTTTACATAGCCATGGAAAATCACCATTTTTCATAGGTAAACCATCTATTTCTATGGATTTCTCATGGCTATGTTAGTCATAACCAAGTTGGGTAAATAGATGACTTTCGCGCCAGTGTTGGGCATTTCAGGGGTCTCCAACCGCGGCACTTTTTCCGCGGCATTTATCGGGCCCCCCCAAAAAAGATCGGAAAGTAAACGCCCACTAAAATGATAGCAAAAGGATGCAAACAGTAATAAATTGAAGCCTTTCTGTTTTTTTGGGGGGGTGCTACTGATGAATTTACTGCATGATGCATGATCCAATGTGAAACAGGCTGTTGTGCAGTACATTTAAATAAGAGTGTCAACTTGAAATTTCTGGATATCCGTGTCTACAGCAGAAGAATGCACCCACCCCACTTGAACGAACACAACTGTAAACGTGGACATCAGATTGACTTTACGTATCTTTACGTATTGGTACGTATCATGTTGCATCATTTTGCCATACTTCGCCCAAGAATTGCCATACAAAAACTTTGATTTTGATTTGAATAAAAATGATTTGATTTTGAAAAAAACATGTTGTATACTGTATACTGTAACTCATTTTCACATATTTCACTAACTAGCATTTCTATAATCGTTTCTCCCATGTTTGATGAAACGTTCTCCAGCTACTCCACCCGAGCCCCGAGCGATGTTCCTGTGAGGAGTTGGACTTCCGTAACGAGGCGTTGAATGCGCTGCGCATGGAAGAACTGCTGAAGGAAAGCTTGGGCGAGAGTTCGTTGGAAAAGAAGCTGAGTTGGAAAAGAGTTGGGTGGAAAAAAATATGAAACAAGTGGATTAAGTATGATTAAGTGGATTGTTGTTGAAGTTGAAGGTAAACTTATGTGTTTGGAAATGTTTAGAATATATTTTCTGTAGATATTTTGAACTATTACTGATGATTAGTTTCTAAATATTGTATAAGTCATAATGGATTCGAAGATAATCGAAGTGCGATCATTATCAAAAAACATGTTTTTAGAATGGATGGATCGATAGATTACATTAGGCTAAATTAGATTAGATTGGATTGAAGTGGATTGAAGTGGATTGAAAGAGACAAGATGAGATACACAGATAGATAGATAGGTAGATAGGTATGAGAGGTAGAGAGAGAGCAGGCTATCCCAAATTGAAAAGACTATGCAAAATATCGTGTAGGATGGTTGAACCGAACAACGTTCGCATGTTTGTCTCATTTGGACGCTGTATTCAATGCTGGTCTGGTCCACAGGCGAACTGGATGGTGTTTTGCCAATATTTGTTCAGGACGACCAAACAACATCCTGGTTCAGCCAATAGGGATACAAAACAAATGGGAGTTGACACCCCATGACACCCCGAAAGTTTGGTTTTCTTGATGGTATGTTACTAGACAAACCTCACGGCAGCGGATAAATAAAGGTGCTGCAGAAAGGGAAACCTACATGGCAGCCTATTTTATGATATTTTATGTACATTGCACAGAAAAAAACGTATTGACAACATGTGTATAGAATATATATATATATATAAATAAATAAATGTACATCTACACTCATACACGTGCTTATACTCATTCATATGCATATACATATACATATACATATACATATACAGAATTGTGAACATCTAGCTGTAGCTATTTCTACAGGTTTTTCCTTTTGAACCATTTGCATAGAAACTCTCACACGCAAATGTACGCAACGACCGAGCTAATGTTTACTCCATGCATAGTCCGATATCACTGATGGGCCCGCCGACCGATCGAATTTGGCTCTCTTAGATTTCCCTTTACTCTAATTCTAGATGGATCTACATTTATAATAATTACAATAACAATAATATATATATATACATGAATGATCTAAGGTGATTTACAGTTGTTGTTTTGGCGGGTTGTGTGGCTTCTCTCCTACTTGCTGTGTTGCGGTAATCTTCATGTCTCATCTCCTTCAACAGAAATTACTTAAACTGTTAACTGGGTTGATTGACTGTGATCATGTTAGATCTCCTAACACCCACCTTACTTGTGCTTAGTAGGGAATGTGGGAATGATATATATATATATATTAAATATCGACAATCATCCCGTTCCCTCATTCCCTACCACCAGTAAGTTACAGGGCCGTGGTCTGAGTCATGGTTGATTTGCTGCTGTGCAGACGGTCGCAACTCAGGATCATTATTCCAAGGCCATTGAGACTTTGACTGGGGAAGTGCCGCTCTGGGAGTTTTCGGCGCCATGGAGGTTTAGAGCTGGGAAAATCATCGAACACGTGGATGATTACCGGTACAGTTTCGAAATTTCAGTGTTTTGTATCGAGCAAATGATTGTCAATCATCCGAAGTTTGAGTATCCCCAATTCTTCACAAAGCCAAGTCTGTACATCTCAGCTATTCAATCGATCCCTGCTGGTTGACGGCCTACGTTTCTCTGCTATAGTATATACCGCATACCTATATGTATACACCCAAGGATAATTGTTAAATGGTGGTAACGTTCTCAAGAAGACATGTATTCACATAGGATCCATTATAAAATAGGTACTTACATTAGTACAGTGTGTATGTATGTATATATATATATGTGTGATTTGGTCCATACTATATATATATATTATGATTTATATATATATATATATAGTATGAATATATATATATATACGTGTGTGTACATATATGTATATATATATATGTATATATATGTATATATATATGTATATTATATGCATATTATATGTATATATATATATGTATATTATATGTATATTATATGTATATTATATGTATTTCATATTAGCTTATATTAAACTAAATTATATTCTATTCTATTATATTACATTATATTCTATTATATTATATTATGTATATTATATTATATTATATTATATTATATTATATCTATCATATTGTATTATATTATATTATGTTTTATATTACTATATTATATGATATATTTCTATACTATATTATATTATATTATATTATATTATGTTATGTGGTATATATGTATTATGATTTATATATTATTATGATTATTATTATTTTTATATTATGATATATATATATGTTATATGATATTAAATTTGTTATATTATATATGATATATATGATATATATATACATATATCATATACATATCGTGTATCATATATGTTTATATATATATATATATTTACATCTATATCATATATTTGTGATATAGAATATTATATATATATACAAACATTATATATATATATTTATGTATGTTGCATGTATATGTATATGTGTATTTATATATATACACAGTCTACCCACACTTTTCACGCAGGGAATAGTAGTCGACTCACTCGTCGCCAAGGATGCCCTTCACCACGCGTCGTGTGATGCTGTCGCAGTGGGTGAACGGCGTGAAGTTGAGCACCTTGCCCAAGGAGGAGCCACCGGAGCCCGGTACAGTATTTTAGTAATCAAGGTATCCCAATAGTTGGCTATAGCTACATCAGATAGTGATCATTATACCAATATGGTGATCATTATACCTTAGTGATCATTATACCAGTGGTAGCCCATAACTAGTTGGTATAACAGTACAATAGGACTATAGTATAATTGCTATAATTAGTTGGTATAATTACTATACCAACTATATATAATTGGTACAATAGTAGCTACACTATAATTAGTTGGTATACCAACACTTTAGTAATCAATGTTATGATAGCCAACTTTAATTATACCAATACGGTGTATCATAACATTATATATATATACATATGCCACATAATATCCCATTATAGTAAGAATTATCCTACTATATGAAATTTTGTCTACGTACATAATCATTCACTAATAGTAAACGTATATCCTACTAATAAGAATCATCCACCAATAACAAACACATATACCATGAACTAGTTATCATCCTTAATAACGCCTAACAAGAATCATACACATTAATGATTTAACATTACTTCAGTGCATACTGAAGTGATTATGTTTGATGTCTTTTTGGATGACAGTTGATGATAGTTTGTCTAAAAAATCATATGAAGATACTAATGTGGGATTCACCCAATGCCAAAGTCACCATCTCGGCGGTATGGTAAGCAGTTTAACCATCATCACAAAGTGCTAGGTCTATGGTGGTGAATACAACATGTAGTGGTTTAATCATCATAAAGCCCTGTTATAGTAGTTGATTTAATGCTATTTAATGGAGGCTTAATCATCATTTCTAGATTTTCTAGGCTGTTTAGTCATGAAAAAAATGGGATATAGCTGATAGACGATGGTTGATTGATCAGATTGATCAGAAATTCTGTTGATCATACTACCCTCTGGTAAACTAACATAACTATGGAAAATCACAATGTTTATATAATGGGTAAATCAATTATTTCTATGGTCATTTTCAATAGCTATGTAAACGTTTACCAGAGGGTATGCAATATCTTGGAGATGATCACAATCCATGAGCGAAGAATCCCGTTCTCGACCAACCAGTTTATAAAGGGACGACACCGGGTTTTGAACACCATACAACACTCGGTGAAAGCTGCAGGAACGTATGGGGCTTGGTAAATGTCCTCTTTTTTTTCACATCAGCCTATAAATTATATATTGGAGATATTTCATCTCCAACAGATATTTCTTTTGGTGTGAAATAAATCCCCAAAAAGGGACATTTACCAACTTTAACGAACCCCTGTTGCAAGTGGGTCATAAAATGTGATAAAACCATTTATAAATGGATGTTGCCCCTACTTACAGCTACTAAAACCTGGAGTTTTAACCCCGTTGCTAGGGTGAAGCTGATCCCTAAGATAGACAAGAAAATCATCATCAACAAATAGTAATTCAGGTTCAGGTCTGAAAAACAGCATGCGAATGTGTAGGGTCAGTCGAAGGCAGTAAATCTTCATTTTGTCAGGAATGGGGGGTTTTAAAGCATCAACTTCAAACTACCCTCTGGTAAACTAACATAACTATGGAAAATCACCTTTTTTCATGGGTAAATCAACTATTTCTATGGTCATTTTCAATCGCTATGCAAACGTTTACCAGAGGTTACCTGTCAGTTACTGATCAAAGAGACTATCAATGATGAGATGAATGAGATCATACAGTTCGAATCAGCTCATCCCAGAGTTTGGGCTGACTGGAAAGTTGCCCATTTGTAGATGATGGCTATGAATATTTCTGATTATTCACCTATCAAAATTAAGATTTTCCATAGCTTTTGCACTTTTGCACTTTGCGGACTTTAAGGGGTTCTGGCGCCCCTGCTGTCTCTTGCAGAAACTAATTGGAAAATGCGGGAAGATACGTTAAATAACCAGAGGGTATTTTTCAAGATATTTCTAGATAGAGGTTTATTTTCTCTAGACAGAATTTTCCTGTTTTTAATGTTTTGTAGCCTTTTCGCACCCCCCTTGTCGCCCAACACTGGTTTCCAAGGTGTTGGAGGTTTTGGTTTTACGGCTTTAGGATTTTTATGGTGTTGGGGTTCGGGATGACGACTGTGCAACGACGCACAGGGCCCCCACCTAAAGCTTTTCAGGAATGCCAAGTGATCCACTTTTTACAATGTTTTGAGAGTGCCTCAGGCAATACGAGGTGTTTGGCCGTTTCCATATACATATATATATATATACTATCCTTGTGTTGGTTTGTTTGGCAAAAACTTACCAAATTCATCGCCAACATTCATCAACATTCTTTGTCAGGAGATCAAAGAGTTGATTGCCATTGGACAAGAAGTTTTTCTGACACAGTTGTTTCTTGGCTCAGCTGGGTCGAGGTGATGGAGTGTGGTAATCAGTTGTTGCAGGATTCGCAGATGGGTTTTATACTGACTGATACTGTCGAATATTAATCGGGATTATCATGATATATAATGATATTTATTTTATCTATCTATCTATATATATACCTTGCATACTTAGAGCATAATCCAGTATCAAAACCAGTACAATGGAATGACGTTTCGGGTTTTTAAACACTATTGGGCGTCAGTGCGTCAGATTGGGATGATTTCGGTTCCGAAGTCAAGCCACAGAGTCTTCGTTACTGTTGAAAATGGCCCCGTTGGATGTCCATGAATAACAAAACATGATCTTGAACAACATAAAAAACAGGATGCTTTATATATATATATGTGTGAAGATAAATTTATCTTATTGTCCCATGTAGGGTTCAGTTGCTTGTTGCCATTCCTCCAATGGCTTCAAAATAGTTTTTTTTCATGGACACAACATTCAGAGCGGATCAGTGTTGGGAAATCCTTTTCCCCTAATATTTGTCATACCCTCTTTTAAGCCTGGTTTAGTAGATCTATTCAATCTTTGGGGGTACATCTGGGGGTATTCAACATGAAGAAGAAAAAACATACATATATAGTGAATGTCTCCAGATTTTTGCCGCAGTATATGTGGCCAAGTATAACCAGAATATTTGAGGTATCTCGGCCAAAGCCCCGCTTCCTTTCATAGTGGCAGTGGCAAAGAATCTAGCCCTGTTAGTTGATGATAAAAGGTTTTTTAATATGGTTTTTCATGCATTTTAATGGAGGCTTAAAATGCTAATAAAGGTGGTTAATACGGTTTAATGCTATTTATCCCATCTAGCGGTTTAATGGAGGCTTAATCATTTCTACATTTTCTAGGCTGTTTCACCATGTAACATATGGGGACCTGATAGATGATGGTTGATGATTAGTGTGTACATTGGGGATGATGGGAATCCATGATGCAAGTCCCCTTCTTAACCAAGCAGTAGAATGGAACGACATCTGGGGTCTTGAACACTGCTTATATCTACCTTTGAGCCACACCTAACCCTGCAACCGTTATGAGCCCCTTTTCTTGGTTTTCATGGGATGGTGACTATGGCAGCCAGGGTGAATCCCAGATGAACTTCGAATCCTCAGAAGAAATTCTCCAGTGAACTGGACATCGAAGAATCCCCTGGAGATATCTGGAGCGATGTCAGTATCCCAATATGGGGATTGGGATATGTCATGATATGTTAATGATGTTCATGACGTTAATGGGTCAAACGTTACAACAACGAGGTTTTTTTTTGGATGCTAATTTAGCATCCCCAGTTGTTTTGGCTAAAGCGTTTGATGCCAAAATCCATGGCATTTACAGATCTCTAACGTCCGCGCCTAGGCTTGACATCGGCTTCTTTCACGGAGATCCTCATCCGGGCAACCTCTTGAAGATTACTGAAGGTGCGCCGATTTTGTCACCTGATGAAGACGACTATACTAATTTGATCTTTTTTTGCATATCAATAGCTATTGGATTATAACATATTAGTAATATTACAAAATATTACAACAAAAGTAGATTAATATTGATTGATCACGGCTTTAGGGCTGCGATCTGATCTGATTCATTTTTTGATCCTAATCTACCCTTTGGTAATCAAACATGACCATGGAAAATCAGTCATTTCCAGATCTGAAAAAATGCCTGGATTTTCCAGGTCGACTTTTGACAAAATCCGCGGGTGGATGATATCGCTTAAGTGACAAGTGGCTAGCAACTACAGGATGGGGCCCCAAAGATAGCGTTTAGTTGAGATATAAGTGGCGAACAAAAACTATGGTATGTAGTAGATAGATATAACTGATATAACGAACTAGTTTGGGGGTTATAAACCAACAAACATCACTGGGGGGCCCCATCCTGTAGAGTTGTAAAGCACCAATGGTTACCACTTACGATTCGTGGGATTCCATAGCCATAGCAATCTGCAGGTAAAATCTGGGACTCCCACTCAGATAGTGCGTTCTCTCCCACTATCTCCCACTTGTTGCTGGAGATACTCGAGTTGTTGCTTCATATAATGTCTCATGTGTATGTATATATATATATGTGTGTTTCAATCGTCGTGTTTGTTGTTTTATTTGTCCATTGAAGTCCTTTCTCATCCTTCTAACATTTCTACATTAATGTGTCATGGTTTTCTCATTGTTTGTGTTTTTTTTTCCTATGGTTGTTCGATGATTTTGCAACCTTTTCTCGATGTCTTCCACCGGCAAGCCGTGTCAGGTGAAGATGCGGGTAAACTATGTAGCTCGACTGCTCGATTTCCCCGAGAAAAGGTGTTTTTTTGATGTAACCACCCCAAACTAAGCTGCGCGAATGTTCCACAGATGAAGGTTCATAAAAGATTACCTTAAATTAAAACAATGTGTATATATATATAAGATGGTTAATGTTGAGGGTGAGAAAATGAAAATTACTACATGTTCTTACCAAGAAAAGATTTGAGAATGGAGGGTCTGGCTCAAAGGTAGAACTAGGTAGTCAAAATCAGGGTACAAGTCGATGGGTCTTTCGCAACTTTTCCCATAGTTTTGCAGCTGCAACCCCCTAAATTCATGAATGGGTTGGAAGACATTGATCGATTTTTTTTTCCGGGTTGGACATGTCCGGAGTTCACGAAATTCCATCGATAATTCATGTGGGTCTATCTGAACATGGGGTATACAAAGGTATAGCCATAAAATGGATTAAACTATTGCTATTTTCATACAGGTTGGGGCCCCCAAGATAGCTAAGTTGAGATATAAGTGGCTTAACTATGGTTTATGCTAGACAAATTATATAACTATAGATAACCATACTTAATGGGGTTTATAAACCAACAAACATAACTGGGGGGCCCCATCCTGTGTGGAAAATTATGATAATCCAATGGATGACATGGGGCGAACAGAGCTATGATTCTGTGGGTTTGTAGCACCTATAAAAGTGGTGATGACTGGGTGATTGTGCATTATTGCTGGGGGCCCCACATTATATTACCCATTCTCCCACACAATTCGACCACCATAGTCAATAGTCTAGTTCAGGTTACGTGTCGCGATCATTTTTAGTAGTCGTTCTCCATACAAACTGGGTCCATTGACCTGCCAGTCAACAAATGCAAATATGTTTTTCCACAACATTTACTGTATAGATCATTTAAACGTTTTCCCATGGTTTTCCCATGGTTTTCCCATGGTTTTCCCATGGTTTTCCCATGGTTTTCCCTGTTGTGTTGTATGTTGGAGGGTACACCGCCTGGATCTCCCCAGAACTCTGTCGCTGTGAGGCTTGTTGGACTTCGGCTTGGTCGCCCAGGTGCCTCGGAAAGATCGTGACATCATTGTCTCGGCGGTGGTTCACCTGGGTCACTCGCTTCAAATTTTGGTGGTCCTTCGGTTGGTGCTGCCCGGCGGACAGAGGTTGTTCGGAACCACTTGTGCTTGGAGGATCCATTTAGGAAGTGGTTAAATGGACGGTCAGAAAAGCCAAGGATGGGAATTCACCAGGGTTATCAACCAGTTAAGTGCAGTTAAGTGGGAATATCCTCCAAGCCTTTGGTAATTGAAGAGGTTGCTATAGAAAATGATCCACTCATTAATGTATCTATTAAATCATGGTGATCTTCCATATAATTATGTTAAATTACCAGATGGCAATAAGCATCTGAAATGCCCCAGGTATTTGCGTGACTTACCCTCGGTGTCCGAAAAAAACATGTCTTTCTGGAAAATCCTCCAGCACTTGGATGATTTTACCAGGGAAAATCCTCCAGCTCGGTGTATTTGTGGGGAATTTTCCAGCTATGGATCTTTGGGGTCAGATAATTATAGATATATGGAGGTTTCCTATCAGAAAAATCTCCAAAATGAAGAGTTCATCATGGAAAATCCCAATCTAAAAGGGATGATTTAGGGCTACCCCCATTCATTCGAAAAACTTCCATGTTCACCTAGTGAAAGTGGGTTGTAAAGTAACGAAGCAACTTCAACCTGGTCGGCAGATCACAGTTAGCTGAAGGTATCCTTCAGTAAACTAGCATAGTTTTTGAAACGGTCCATTTATAGGTGATTTGCCTATTCAGAATGATGATCTCCATTGCTATGTTAGTTTACCAGAGGGTATATCTTTACAAAAACCATGATCCGCGGTGCAGTCAGCCAACATTGAGGCACCCAAAACTGGGAAGCCTTGATCGAAGATTTTCAGGCCTTTTGAGGGCCAACGAAAACCATAGGAAACTGGTCATTGAACCAAGAAAACTGAGGATTTAATTATAGCTGAATTTTCATGGGATTTACATAGCTGAATTCTAGGGTGTATGGGATCTATAGCCTCTGGTAAATGAACATAGCTATGGAAAATCACAATCTTTTAGTTCGGTAAATCAACTATTTCTATGGGCCATGGCTTCCAGTTCGCAAAGTGTAAGAAATTGCCAAAGAGTATATCTCCCAACATATTTTTTTTGTAATAGCCTATGTTACCCAATTACCCTATGTTAGAACTAAAACATGTTTAGGGCCCTGTTTGGAGCCTCAGAAAATGTGCTTCCCTTCACCTTGATGACTCCGACCTGGAGATGTGCTTCATATTGGTAGTTGCTATACTTAGACCCTCCAAATAGCCCAAGTTTGTTATGGGATAAAACACCAATTTCGTCGCTACTTGGAGGATCTAGGTATACATTTCGTAATATCTAAGCTGTTTGAGAAGGTTCACCAGTTGATTCAATGGGACCCTGATGGATATTAAAACCGCCAGTTGACTTTCATAGATGGATGCAAAATCACAAAGAATCCAGGTATTACTCGGTATTACCTTCATTGAATACATCACAATTTGCGATAATAGTGGTCAGTAGCCACCGATAGGACCCAGCGGTTTTTTGTTCTATGATAAAACACATGATTAGAAGAATAAGATGATGTAACATCTGGGCAAATTATAATGACCTCATTGCAACCTCACTGGAATGATGGCTAGTAGCGATAAGCATCGTTAGTGAGCTAATTATTATAATTTACCCTCTGGTAAGCTAACATTACTATGGAAAATCACCATTTTCAATGGGTAAATCCACTATATCTGACCATTTTCAATAGCTAAGTAAACGTTTACCAGAGGGTACCCAGATAATCAAATGATGCCATCCAAATGTAGCATGTTTTTAAGGTACCATCATCATGACCAGAATGTCGGGAAACCCAGCCACATCCAACCACCCAACCCAGCACAGCAAAAAATGACATCCATCCCCCATGAAACTCCAAAGGTCTCATAGTTGAAGTCTACTTTTTGCCAAGTACCTAACTCGAAGGGGCTGAAGTTCTAGTTGTTTTAAGATTCAACCACTAGTTCAATTGTAGTATGGAGGTTTCTGTTTTGTCACAGGGGTACCCCAAATCCAACATATCAAACCATTTTAGTATTGAAACAACCATGGATTTGGGGATCCTCCATTTTAAGAATCTCTCATATCTACTAATCGAAATTAGAAAGGGCTAAAGTGTCAGAAAGTGTCATCATACAATAGTTTTAAACTTCACAACTAATAATAATAGTTGAAGTGTTATTATCTAAAAGTGAAACTATAGTTTATACTATAGAGAAGTGGTCAGACAAATTGAATTGTGATATCTAAACTACACCAGTAGTGACTGTAGAATTGCTCTGATACGGACAGGAGTTGGGCTTCCTGTCCGAGGATACCGACAAAGATGCCCTGGCCGCTTGGTTTTTCCTTGTTGCTTCATTCAGCAACACCCCTGTTGTTTAAATTTGGGTAATGATTATATAATATTATATATATATACATAATATATATATATATAATTCTATATATATATGTATATTATATCCATGTTCATAGAGATTTATGTATATCCATTAATATTCATGTTAATGTATCACTCTGGATCACAAGACGTGAATGGATTGCTAGTGTATACCTAGACCCTCAATTGAAAAAAGCAAAAGAGTTGGTAAAATACGAGTTAAGTACGGGGTAAAACACCATTTCTTGCTGTACAAACGGAGGGTCAAACGGTAGCTCTTTGGTTAGTGATGGGGTTCTACTACCCCCATACGGGTGATCAAAATCCATTTTCACAACGGACTTGCCATGGTCAAACCATGGGGATGTATGTGAAATAAGGGAGGTCAAAATTTGGGACATCATTAGATGGTGTTTTCTTTTAAGATATAGACTAAATAATCTGTGGGACCATGTGGCTTAAATTTTGACCCATTCCCATATGGGAATATCATGGGAATATGTCATGGGAATGGGATATCAAGGCCCAGCTCTTGTTGGGTCCAGGCATGGCGTCATGGCCATGTTTTTGACCAAGCTTTAAACCCCCGATGTTTGTACTAGACGTGTAAGTACCACAAACATCTAGTGAAACATCCATAGTTACTGGAGATGATCTCAGCAACTTACCCTCTGGTAAACGTTTACAGTTTGCTATTGAACATGGCCATAGAAATGCTTTGTTTACCTCGTAAAAATGTTGATTTTCCATAGATTTTTCTATGTTAACCAGAGGGCTGCTCAAGAGCTCGATGGCTTCCGAGCGAGATTCCCATTATGCAGCGGGTGCTGAAGCCATACCTGAAGGGTGGCGGAGCGCAAGCCTTCAAAAATGCCGCTTGGCACTGTTCGGGGTCTACCGGTCTGCCGGTCCACCCCAAAGGCCGGAAAAAAACAAGGAAAATAATAAAGCTCCAACTGCACAAAACATGCATTTTTTGGATGTAGAATGTGTGGAATTATGAAGTAGGTGGGATATGATGGAATATGGAATTTCCTACATATTCCCATTTTAGTCACGATTTTTTGAAATGTCCATATTCTATTTACTCCAGGATGACTATATTTGGTATGAATGTGGCAAGATGCAACAATGATTTGCGTCTTGGTAGTTCCAGTAGACTGGATATGTGACATGTGAGGACTTGCTGCACAACCTGTTGCACATAGACATAGATTTTGCAATATAGTAACCCCTGAATTACAAGAAAAATTGGAAGTATGGGATAGATAACATCTACACAGCAATATTCTATCGTTTTGGGGGGTACTATACATTTTTGCATATTAAGTCGGCCGGATGTTCATTGTTTCATGCCCCAAACCCACCAACAGTTGGTGGGTTGTGTGCGAAACCTCGTGGTGCTCCGCGCAACAAAGGAAACCAAACCAAGAAGCGTTGACCTTTTTCGGCTAGGCAAACCTTGGCAACCCCAAATTTTCAGTTGCCTATAAATAGCCCCAAACACATGGGGATGGGTCAAGTTGCCCATGGTAGCATATGGGGAAATAAACATCCATCAACCAGCAAAGTTTGGGTACCTAGGTACCAGGGTTTTGACATGTTTTGACAGATGGAGGTTTCCTAAGTCATAGGGGTACCACGGGATACCCCTGTTCATCATCCATTGTATTTTGGTCTCTTCCACTATATACCATCCAGCTACTGGGTTACCCCGTTTATGGAAACCCCATATGGATTATTAGCCATCATGAAGCATCATTAATTATATAGCAATTGTTAATCGCTATTAATCACTATTAATGACTATTAAGGACTATGGAAACCTCCATATAACCACATCAAGTTACAGCTGCGAGGCGAATTTCCAGGCCTTGACCCAAGATCTCTTGAAGGCGAAGCGTTGAGATGGGCCATGGGATTGTAACGTCCACAGTGAAAAAGCGCTGCCAGTTATATCCGGCTGATCTTGATACGGGGGTCCATAGTCATGAGGCATCCCCCAAGCTCGCTGGTTGGTTTATTTATATTTCATGGAAAATCCGAAAATCAAATGGATGATGAACAGGGGTCCCCCCATGTCAGGAACCTCCAATATGATATATATATATATATATCCTGAGTTATAGGAGCTATTTCATCCTACTTATAAGTGTTACTTGGGCCATACTTGAAGTTGGGGCTGCCCCTGTGGTGATATTTGCCACCTTGGACACCCCCAAGTTCCGCAATTTCTTGGCCCAAGAATTCAAGTTGATGAATCATTGTCATTATATATATATATATATACACCATATGTAAATGGGACTGACAATGATATTGCAATTTCCGTCATGTTTCAGAAATGGGGCTGTAGTATATTTATAATAATATGTATGTCCACTTGAAAACCCGAGACATATGAATTCATCGTTGCCAGCAATATTGATTCGTCGCTGGATACCATCAACGATTGGACACCACGAGGGTTCGCTATCGCTCAAAAATCAACTAAATAACTATACTCAGAGTATCTCAGAGTACTTGCTTCTCCCGACAAACCTTGGGTCGAAAAGAATCCCATTTGCAGATTAAAACCCCAGCGAACTAAGCCTCCATGGCTCTAAGGGGAATTGTCCACGTTTGAGGACACTGGAGAGGTTCTTCATAATTATGTTCATAATTCCAGCTACGAATCTGCAGACTCTCGGACTCTTCAGACTGGCAGGTGAATATGGAAGTGAAGTTCTCCATTCCGCCTTATGTCTCCCTCCTGGCACGTTCTGTTGCGACCTTGGAGGGTGTTGCTCTCCAGGGCGACCCTGGGTATCTGGGTGCAAGTGCAGGGGAAGTGATGCAGCTGGGGCTACCGATAGCCTACAAAGTGGGCCCCATAGTCCTTTTTTATTAGCCAAGTTGGTGAACACAACTCCAATTACTGTAGTTTGTGGTACTCATAACTCTAATGTCCATGAGATTTATACAGGACAAAACTGGGGACACGCTTCTACGATGTTCCACGCTTCGGTTGATCAAAGAGTTGGACGTGTTGGACCCCCTTGGGGGTCCCCAAGGGTCCCCAAGGGTCGATGAGGTGTCCAGCCAATCCAGCCAGCACTGATTGGGACAGACTACAGATTATATCATGTGCTTAAAACAATGTCATGTCATCCATCCCCCAGTCATCACCATAAATGGTTGGTATTTTTATGTATGTTTGCCATTCCCAAATGGATACTTTGTGGCATTGTTCTAACCGCATTGTCACGAACCTTGTTGCTCCATAGCTGACATAACCTCGTCGGGGGCCTGTAAAGTTTTCATGCATCTTTATACTCAGGATGGGCCCCCCCGTTGGAGCTCGCGTTCAGTTGGGATATGGCTGTGGCTGAATTCTATGGTTTATGGTAGATATCACTATAGATAACTATATTCACCGGGGTAATAAACCAACAAACATAACTGGGAGGCCTCACCCTGTAGAGGTTGGATGGTTCTGTTGTCTAGGTCCTGGTCGTAGAAATCAGCAGCCAATGGCGCGAACTGTGCTGTGGCGAAGGGCATCCGTGGACCATCCTGGACCTCCATATGTACCCGTAAAAATTATGGTTTTATCCCACAATGACTGGTTGGTGGTTTGGAACCATGGAATTTATGACTTTCCATTCAGTTGGGCATAATTTAGTCCCAACTGACTAATGAAACCACCAACCAGATGAACTAGTACTTTTACATACTTTTGTACCATTTTCTTAGAGTATTTGGAGGCTCTAAGTATATGATGTTCCCCGTCGAATTTTCTTCATTTTGTGCAGGTATCAGATCGTCGCAATGGCCTATCCATTCGTTATTCGGCGATTGTTGTGACTTGGTACCGGAAGACAGATTTGCGGCCAACAAAAAGAGGTTTTGACATGCAGAAGGAAGCAAACAAGAGTATCTATCTAAAGAGAAACACAATATGAATGGATTTATGGTGTTTGGTGGTTGGTGAGACCATGTGAGACCAATTCTAAAACATGATGTTTGTGCAAGTCACACCAGCTTGCAGGGATGATACTCCAGGCTTTCTGATCAACGATGTGAAAACTTTCTGACCGGTTGACCGGTGGTTGACCTCCGATTTGATTCTACGTGTTCTACGTGGACAGGAGATGTTCTTCATCTTTGTTCCTGAAGTGCTTGGTGGTCTCAAAAATCACCCACGAATCCACCTCCAAATGGGATGATGGTCGCGAAAAACCACCAGCTGTATGATTTCTTGGTTGTTCCATGGTTTTTCTCCCATCACATATCAACTATAGTTTCTATTTCACTCCCAAATGTCATGCTAAGGTCGTATTAATTACTCGCCCCTAGAAGGTAAGAGTTCCCCCCAATTAAAAACCTAGGGCTTGTCATACATTAAAAAACAACTCATCGACCTGCCAATGGGTCGAGATTTCTGAGATTTCTCTTTTCGGGGGCAACCTCTCAATGGGGTGAGATGGTGAGATTGGGCATGGGACATCCCTTCAAAACATTACTTTTTCATACTTGTTCAACCATGAAAAACAATTAAAACTATCAACAAATAAGCATATCCTAACTACCACAAAAGTTGGATTTCTCAGCAGAGTATTGTTTAAACAGGTGGGTCGCACATGTCTGTTAATAGGGAGTGATCAACCCAAAGTAGTATTGCCATATTTGTTTGGAATGTGTGGGTTGATTAATTCGGGGATGATTATTAATGTGAACTGCATTATAGTTGATACTATTCCCAACTTTTCCCAATCTTGAGAATTTCTGGCTTTCTGAACCCGGCCACGGTCGGTTAGGAAGAACGACAGTCGCTTGTCCTTCTCGGCCCTGCGGGAGTTGCTGTACGACCCGCACACACGGCGCATGCGGCCTCAGCGGCTGGCGACGATGCTCCAGGTACCCCTGAGCCAAATCGGCTAGGACCGCTAGGAGTATGATGGCTGGCAGATTGGCCAACTGGATTTTGGGGTGCCACCAATTCGGACCCAAAAAAAACAGTGTTACCAAAGGGACTTCGCTAATACTTCGCCAATCTTTTTTGCATATGGTATCTGACATATCCTCATAAACCCCCTTTAAAGTCAGGGACTAAGCTTTCCCATTGCCCCGGCGTCCTGACTTCAGGCGTCCCTGGGCGTTGTGGCGGATGCGGACAGCCGCGAGGGGTTCATCGATTTCGACTCGGTGCCCAAGGTGGAACCAGACCGGCGCTGGTTCCAAGCTATGACATGCTGGGATAGAAATGGATACAAGATAATCCTACCTGGAACTTTTGAAGGTCCAGGTATATATACGTACTTCTACCCAGACATTCCAACGTCGAAATTTAACTTAGCATTTATTGTTTAAATGCTAAGTTAAACTTAGCATTTGCATTTAATACCAAGTTTACCCGTGAAGTACTGAGTTTAACCATGGTTTTGTTTTTTTTGCTGGCAACTGTGTCCTGGGCTCTGGGATTGGTTGCTCTGGGTCGACTGTGCAGTGCACAGGTAAACATAGAGTTCAGGGGGTGTCAGCTCACGCGGAGCACCGGGATAGTCTCAATTCTTCAGGGGTAAAGGGTAAACTTTGTATTTCATGTATTTCCAATGTATTTCACCCGACTCACGGGCACTTCAAGTGAACATGTTTTGGGGGCACCATCTAGGATCCATCTAGGTTCAGACATGTTATCAACATTTATGTCAGTTCTTCCACCCAATACAACTCAATACACTGCTGCGCATGAGTCGTCAAGCAGTATATTCCAGCTTAACAGGTGATGCCAGGGGGAGATAGGGGGCAGCATGGTTAAACCTAGTACAGAAGCATGTCGAAGTTAAACTTGCCCTTTGAAGGCCTGGGTCTATATGATCGAAACATAATCCTTTTCTATCCTTTTGACCTTTGACATCTTTTGACTCATGACTTAACAAATAGAATTTGGATATCTTGGATATGCTTGGATTCTGGATCCGAAGCAATGAACCAATGACCCAACATGGCTCGAGCCATATTGATACCGTGGAGTTGATGGGAATGGTGACCCAGACCTTTTCAGCTTGGAGTGTGGCCTTCCCTGGAAAATTGTGGATATTGGGCAGATATTTATCCCAAAACTGGAACTTTTTTTGCCATTTGTGGTGTGTCCATTCAAGTGGATTGGCCCTGTCCATGGAACCATTTGGTCTAGTGCAAGACAGCGCAGGACAGCGCACCAGTTTCTGAAGTGGTGAAGTTTTTGCTCTCCCCCAACGCCAGCAAGCCCCTTGTCCACGCACAGCGAGCTACGTTGCTACGCTACGCGGGTCATGTTGATTTCCAGCCAGAGCCGTGAACAAAACATCACAAAATTTACTGTAGCCATGTTGGTTTGTTAAACATGAAGTGGTTGATGATTCGATGACGTTCATAAGCTCTAATTCATTGGATACCGGATACCCCGATTTTCCAGAATCATGGGTCATGGAATTCCAGAGATTTGTTCGCTCCATTGGCACAGCTCACTGTCATTCAGAATTGCCAACAGGAACTGCGACTCGATCAGCTGACGTTTTGGTGAGGCTAAAGACATGCCTATGCATAACTGTGGAGCCACCGTAAATTATGGGTGCTCCTCAGGTAAGGGCGCTCAAGTAATGGGATGATATATCATGATACGTTCAACTTCCAGAGGTGTCTATGGTTGGCAAAATGCGGCTGGGGGGCTTATCATCAAGTACTGTAGCCAATTTGTAGCAAGCCAAGTGAAGTTTTGTTGATCACGGGACGCCTCATGTTTTGATGGTAGATAGATGCAGCATGCAAGACAAAAAGTGCGAAGATCTCTGGCAATTTAGCTGTTTCAATGTTTCATGGGAAAATATGTGATATTCATGTGTAGGTGGTTTTCCATTGCCAGGTTTAATCATATGTTTTTTTAATGAATTTATTCAACCATAGAAATGGGATGAAACCCTCCCCAATGACTTTCACAGATGTTCAAAGGGCGGCTGAACCGACAGCGAGATACATCCCCTAAAATGAACTTGGAACCCCAAAATTGGGCTTGGACAATGCTTTTCCTGTTTGGCAATTTTTTGGGTTCCTTGTCACTGTCAGATTTGCTGTTATCGAATTAAATGGAGAATCTCGTGACTTCACCGGAAGGATGGTAGTAAGGAACATGATCCTCACACGGCCTTTTTTTTCGGCTGCCATAATTTAGCCATATCTATGCCATATCTATGCCATAGCAAATTGTTAGTCCTTACCAGAGGATATTTCCCATTCAGAATTCCCCATTTCTGCTGCTTCAATCCCCAGAACTAAAAAGCCTGGAGACTGTTTGTCAGAAATGGCCATGGGTCGTATTCAAAATATGAATATCTATTATATATAAAGGTATCATATATAATATTATATATATATATTATATATTATATTATATATAAATATTATATTATATCTAAATATGTGTATATGTATATATAATATGAATCTTGGTCTATTTAATATCTATTATATCATTATAATTATGATTGTTCTCTCAATAGTACCATTTTGGAGATGATTGCCTCTATGATTTCCATCAAATGTCAGATGAACATACCCTCTGGTTTCGCCTAACAGTTTGCAAACTGGAAAACTGGTTGGTGGTTTGGAACATCATATTTATGTTTCCATCTATTGGCAAGAATCATCCCAACTGACGAACTCACATTTTTCAGAGGGGTAGGTATACCACCAACCAGAAAAGCACTTGTTTTCTGCCTATTGGTGAATCAACTAAACTAACTATGGCTTCCAGCCAGCAAAAGCAAACAACGTAAGTTTCCAACCATCAAACAACATGAGTTTACTGTAGGGTACACTTATGGCCCTTTACCAGTTATAAGTACTGAACTAACCCCATTTATAGAATGTAGAGTCCCATTGCAAATAACCAATTACAACTAATTAACACCCTCTGGCAAACTAACATAACTATAGAAAATCACCATTTTGAATAGGTAAATCAACTATAGATGGGAAATTTTCAATAGCTATGTTAAATTACCAGAGGATAAATGGCCAGAACCGTACCGAGGCTCCGACCCTTGCTGAACGCAGAGCTGGCCTATGGTCTGGACCTGGTCCTTCGCCGCACGGCACGGCGGGCCAGGAGTACCTTGCGTCGCCCGGCGGAAGAGTTCAGTGACGGTGACAAACACTGCCAGGGGGAACAACAGTTTTTTTGTCTTCAAATCACTGCCATCCATGCAGTGACCGAGGTGATGTGCTTGCACCAAGAGTACCAGTGGTGGGTATCCGCCTACCCCAGTACCTTCAAAACGTGCTGTGTGTTTGGATCGGCTGGGGAGATGTTTTGATCATAAATCTACGACCCAGGAATCCAACAGGGTTTAGAAGTTTTAGAAGCCATTCATCTACTTTAGTATATTCCATAGGGGTAAATTCTGTGGTCTCACTGCATAGTTCGGATTTGGGAATCATCCCCAAATGGCCGCAAGTTTCAGGTTGGTGAAATATGAATTCATTTTCCTAGATAAATATGGGGACGGGTCGTTTGTTACCTACGAAATTACCATATGACTGGGGGAAGAACCCATCATTAACATTCATTAACCAGCGACTTAGTGTACGGTTTGGGTACCAGGCCTTTAACCATAATATGGTGCCCCTTGCTACCTGTGATGTAACCAGTGAAGTCTGGCATGTTTTCAGAGACCTGAGCTGGAAAACGTTCCTCATGTTTTGTCATCAAATGTTGACCCGTATGCTGGAAAGTTGATGAAAGGCATCCACCATGGCACCTGGTGGTAGCTTCACACCAGAGATTCCAGGAAGGTATTCATCCTTCATGTTTTGCTCGACTGCAGCACTGACACTGATTTCTTGCTATATTTTTTCTACACATGTCTACATGTCGTTGGCCACCTTGAATCTTAGATACCAGAAAGTCTCACAGACATTGCATGGCTTGAGAAAAAAGCACAGAAACACACACACACACACACTTGCTCACCTGTGGTAATAGAAATCACTGAAATCACATGAGTGCTGCTTCAAGCTGTCCAAATCGTTTCCCTCGTTTTGAATTACTGCACATGGATTAGCCAGGTACTATTTCTCCAGCCTTCTTGCTTTTTTTTATGTTGTAGGGATACTATGATCCTTGGGTGTTTGAAATGTCTTCCTTCCCTTAGTCTATGTATTATCCAATCGTCAGTTGCAGGAATTTCACCCAATTTACGGCACAAAATGCCCATTCAATCCCAATCATAGAATCATAGATGCCCTTTTTCCACTGGTTTGTTAATAAGGAGAGGCTTCCGAAGCGTTCAAGAACCAAGAGGTAGATGAGAATAAAAAGTATATTTAAAAAGTATACATGCCAAACCGGCCCCTCTATTTTTCTTAAACTGACAATATTGATCCCAATCCCAGTGAACTGAGTTTTCCAAACACCCACGAGAACACCGAGAACCACCGCCTGAGGCCTCCATTGCCACCTTTGCTTCTGCCTGTTCCACGGGATCTCCAGAAAACTGGGCCAGAAGCCTTTCAGAATGGTGTGGATCTCATTAGTTTCTTGGCGGCGCTGCGAATGTCGGAATGGGTCTGTGTTTAGGGTCGATTTTTCTGGTTCAAATCACTGGGAGATCTCGATAAAAGGGTGATCTTGACGGGGAAAATGATGATCATGAGCTGGAGCTGGAGCTATCTGGAGCTCCGTTTTTTAGGACAAATGATTTGTTTCATTCAACTTTGGGCATGGTTAAAAAAATGGGATGCCACAAAAACACAGAAACATAGGTCCTCAAAGGTCGTGAAACATGATATGGAATGTATTTTATGGTGCTTCAGTGATTTTCAGCCATGGCAGCCTTTCGATTTTCAGCATCAGAATTTATAGCCAGCCAGATGATATCACGTTTGACTTTCCGTTTGCACATGTTTGCATCCTTCAAACTGGTGTTTTATCATGGTTTATCCCACAATCTGTGTACTTTTTACATTTTTTGGGGTAATAGTATATATAAACTGAAGGTATAGGAATATGAATATGGAGATTTCCTAAAATGGGGGTACCCCCAAATCATTCATTTTTAATCATTTTAATAAGATTTTCTCTTATGAACCATCCATTTTGGGGTACCACCATGACTCTGGAAACTCCCATGTTCAATTTCTGGGCCCAAAAGTGCATGGCTCACCCCCGCAGATGGCGACCCAAGATGGTGAAAGCCGGCGTTACCCTCTGGTAACTTGAGCGTTTACTATTGAAATCTATTGAATTTGGCCATTGAATACCTTTGAGCTAGTTGGTTTACCCATGATTTTCCATGATTTTCCATGATGTACCTTTGATTTGCCTATGAAATCCATGGTGATTTTCAAGCCTCTTCATTGAGGCGGCGATTTTTTGTGGTCACCTTTCGGGGTGAATTTCCTAGCGGGGATTTGTCGATTTCATGATGATCATGGGACTTTGAGGTTTTTAAACCACGGATTTTCCCCATGTCTTTAAAACAGCCATGGCTCGCGTCCCAGGTATCGAGGAGGTCTTCGAAGGCGTCTTCCCGGAATTGAACACCTCTGAGGCACGAGCGGCTCGCTGTTTTCGGGTCCGAAAATGGGTGAATTTTCCCAGGTTTCCATAAATGGTACAATATAGATAGCTAAGTTGGTTTATAACTCCAATAACTATGGTTTATGATACTTATAACTATATATAGTTAATGGGATGTATAAACCAACTTATAACTGGGGGGCCCCACATTGTAGCCCAATAGCTGGATGGTTTATTTCATTGAAGATCCAAAAATAAAATGGATGATATATATATATATATATATATATAGGGGTACCCCTATTTCAGGAAACATGGTCATTGGGAATATTCGGAAATTGTAGCGAGTGTCAATGTGCCAATCATCCATAAGGATTGGGGAAAAATGGGGGCCAATTCTTGGGTTAAAACCCCGATGTGACTTCAACCGGGTATGATCTTGAGCAGAAATTATCATGAGCATATCCAAGGGTTGAGGTTTTAAAGGTTATGCACTCCGACAAGTGCGCCTGACGATGTTTGATGTAGATGATTTAACGATAGAACATGATGATTTCCACATTTTCTTTGTTTGTTTACAGGAGGGTCATCTAGAAAAATGCGGTCATGTTTGTGACTTGGACATCATTGGACATCCCTACAGTGACAATGCTGTGCGACGCTTGGGCCCAGTTCCAACCAGAAAGGGCATTTTAATTCCCGTAGCATCATCTGCTGAGTTTTCTGGCTGAGTTCTGTGACATCTACCCTCTGGTAAACATACAAAAATCTATGGCCAATCACCATCGTTAATAGGCAAATCAACTATAAAGGACCTTGAAATATAAAGGTGCCATTTTCAATAGCTATACCAGCGGGTACTGTTTGGACCTCTAATATCAGTGTGAAACGTTGCAGATCTGCTCCAGCGCCTACAAGTCGCTCCAACATGTTCATTCTGGGGCCCCATCATCCCCGTACCATGGAGGAATCTAATCCAAAATATCACTGTTTTATTGCCTCATAATCCCACTCTCCACATATATATAATTATATATAGAGATAGATAGATTAGATTAGTTCGATAGATAGATAGATAGATAGATAGAGATAGAGATAGATAGAGATAGAAATAGAGATAGAGATAGAGATACAGATACAGATACAGATACAGATATAGATAGATAGATAGATAGATAGATAAAGATAGATAGATAGATAATGATAGATAGATAGATAGATAGATAGATAGATAGATAGAGGTACAGATACATATACAGATACAGCTACAGTATATATTATTCTATATAGATATATATAATATACAATTCTTCAACTCCTATCACACTCCCATATGCAGATAGATGAAGTTTATTGTCCGAGCATCACTGGAATCACCACAGTACTGAGCTAAACCCAATAAGACTTGGGGATATACCCTGGTAAAGGATGTCAATTACCGGAAAAAAAATAATGACTCCCCCCAAAAAACACCAGTTCTTCAGTTTCAGATGTCCAAGAGTTCTACGTCTTTTTTGCGTGTTGCTATATTTTTTCTTAGACTGTTCCTCTCTCCAAGAGTTTTGCAGGTCTCACACCATGCATCACTGGCATTTTTTTCTCCCTTGGTGGATCCTCACATCCAAACCGTGATCCCAATGATCCCAGTGTGAGGGGAAATCCAAACCGGAAAGCCTCTTCTAATTCTATCCCAGATGCAACCCATGGTGCTGGAATATTTACTTGCATTTACCCCAAAAATGGCCCAGTTCTGTTTGTAAATATTCCATACATAATACATGGAGCATCTGGGCATCTGAAATCGGTGTCCTATGAAAATTGATGTTCCCACCCATAGTTACCGATAGATGATGATAGTTCATTGATGTCATGACCCAGTTTTTGAGAGTCCTTATCACCCGATATATATATATATATATAATTATATATATATATATGTATGTATATATATATATGTGTGTAATTATATATATATATATTTGTTTTACCCCATCGATGTTAATCATTAATCCTAGAATCCCAGTTCATCCATGTTCATCCAGTTCTTGAAGGCCTTATAACTCATTATATATTATATCACCCGATAAATCATGATAAATCGAAGTTCATCCCCTTCAGTTCTAAGTTTGGTTTTGCCTAATCAAAAACCAACGGACAGGACGTGGACTTTGACACCTTCAACGATGCGGCCAAGAGCATCTTCAACAACGGTGATGAGCTTCCTGAAGTGTCGCCACAAACCCTTCTGGCACTGCTGAGGGCGGTGGTGCAACGGGAGGACTGCGGAGTACCCCCATGACGGAAACCGAAACCTCCACATGAAAACACCATCGTGTCCTATGGCAAATTCAGCATTTTGGGAGAACATATGCTGGACATTTCCATGGCAAATTCTCCTCCATGTTTGGATCAAGCCCCAACTAGCCAGGTCTCACTGGCTGCACATGAACGGCAAGTCTGGAATCATCAACTGCTTGGTTGAAAAAACAGATTGAACCAGATTTAAGGTATGAGATTACCTTCCCCAATGACTATCTAGCATTCGTTACATGGCGTTACCCTATTTTTAACAGCCCTCTGGGATTGGGTGGAACATGATGGCGACCATGAATCTCCAGAATCGTCCAATCCATGATGGTGCATGAATGTGCATGATAATCCATGCATATTCATGACAATCCCATCCTTCCCATTTTCCATGATATGTTCATTGAGTCTGTTCCATGGCCCACATGGCTAGTTCGAGTTGCCGCAAACGCCACCACACATTGAGGAGAATGCTGCAGTCGAACTCGCAGATGCCTTGCGCCAGTCCTTGTCCTTGCAGGTGGGGATGATTTCAGGTGGTTCTCCTTACCCGAAACGGTGTCATCAGACATGAAAAGCTGGAAAATCATGTAAAATCCACTCTAAATGGTGTCTTAATGGGAAAATTATCTATAAATTTGGAATTTTCCAGCAAACCATGTTTGACTACCAGAGGGCAAACTATTAAACATCCCCCAGAAAATCATTGCTTGGGAATATTTCATACAGGAGCTAAAACATGATAACAAAACATATAAAATCATATAAATAAACACCACATATGGGGATATATTTGAGGTCGATATGAATAGGGCTTGGGATTAGTGATTGGACTACCTCACGCCCTGGTAACGCCTTCTCACTCGGATGCACCAAAAGAAGAGACATGTCATGATTGTCATGGACATTCCCGGAGCTCATTGCAGAGAGTCATCTGAATTTGGGGAACATCTATAAACAAACAATTATAGACATACCCTCTGGTAAACTAACATAACCATTGAAAATCACCACGTTTAAGAGCTGATTTAACTATACATATGCTATGTTCCATAGCTATGTTGGTTTACCGGAGGGTACATCTTCTCAAACGTGTTTTTTAAAAGCTGCAGCTATGTAAAAAAAGTTTGAGAGATTTGGTGTGGCCGGCTCATCCATGATCCATCGCCTTGTCCCATTGGGCGAATCATAGCGACCGTTCGACCAAAGGGGCCGCGGCTGGTTTGTGGTTGAATGTGTTATTTGCCCAGAAAAAAACGTTCCACGTGGTGTGTGTTTGTGTGTATGTGTTTGTGTATGTTTATGTATTTATATATATATATATATATATCTTAAATGTCTCATGTGGCATCATGTCGCTACATTTTGACTGGTCTGTCCCTGAAGATCCAACCAGCCCAAGTTTACCAGCCCAAATTTCACCAGCCCAAATTTGAAGCTAGTAGCTTTGATTTTGGGCTGGTAGCAAAGTAGGCGTTTTAGTGCCAAACCAGCCTTAAATCAAGGCTGGTAACCAGCCTGAATTTGAGGCTGGTCACCAGCCTTGATTTGAGGCTGGTTTTGATATGAATATATTACCATATTATGCATATTTGATGACAAGAACAATGTGAAAACACAACATGTTTGCTTGTCATTCATGGAACAAAGGAGAATTATGCTGCTTGGCTCCTGCAGTTTTCAGAGGCTCAAGTGCAATATGTTGATCACTTCAGCTGTGAAGAGAAGCAAAGCTTCTGCCCCAAAGCCTGCATTGCCTGTAGCTGGCCATGGGCATGGTGGCCTGGAAAAGGCCAGTGTGAGCAGTGCTGCTGCAGTGTTGAGGGGTTGCTTCCCCAATGGTTTTCAAGAAATTTCTTGGAATGGCAGTGAAGAAGTGGTTGGGGAAACACAGAGCAAAGCTTTGCAAGCTTGGTTCCAACTTGATGCTGGAGGTGTGGAATGGCAAAGGAAAGCTTGGGGAGAAGCATTCCCTGGCCTGGGGAAGGCCACCATTGATGCAGTGTTGAAAAAAATTGCAAATGTCAAAACCTTTGTGCTGAAAAAAGGTAAAAATTCTGTGACAGGGGAAAGGATGCAGCCCTGGGTGAAAGATTTGCTGCAAGTGTTTGGAGCAAAGAAGGCTAGCCCCAAGGCTGCTGCCCCCATGCTTGCTCCCAAACCTGCAAAGCCAACTCCTGCTCCCAAGGCACAGAGCAATAGTGCAGGGAGTGGCCTGGAAAAGGCCCAGACCTTGGACACAGAGAGCCAAGAACCTGCTACCCCACCACATGACTTTGGAGAGCATGCCACTGAAACCCAGTCTGTGGTGAGCATCCAAAGCTCTACCCCAGCATCTCCTGCTGTTTCCAGCCCAGTTGCTAGCCTGAAAGGATCACAGCAAGGTGCAGCTGCTAGCAGCAGTGGCCTGAAAAGGCCTGCATCCAAAATGAAAAAACCGGCATCCAAAGTGCAGAAGGTATCAGAAGCTTGGAAGCCAAGTCCCAGCTTTGGCTTTGTAAAAGCCACCAAAGCAACTGCCAAAAGCTACATTGTATCGAGGGAAAGCATGAAAGAGAATTATCACCTTTTGGTGAATGTCACAGCCCATGCCTCCCACAGCCACCACCAAGTGGTTGACAAGCTGATGGCCTTGGTGACTTCCCAAGGTGGCCTGAACAAGGCCAAGGTTAATGAGCAAAGGGGTGAGATCATTGCTGGCTTGCAATAAGCTGGCCTGAGAAAGGCCATAAACCGACAAAAAAATATTTTTTTGCTTCATGGCTGAAAAATATCTGTCTCAAAAGGGGTGGTGGCTATGGTATTGCATATTTTGAGCAGCTGCATGCCACAATCTAGAAAAATGTAATATTATATATATATATTGTTGAAATGAGATTTTCAGTTTATGTTAGTTGGTTGCAACCAAGACAAACATATATATATATATATGATATGATATGATATGATATGATATGATATGATATGATATGATATGATTGTGTTGCATACCCCCCCACCACAGAAACAAACATACCATAGCCAAGAATAACATTTCATTGCCAAACTCCAAATATTTGATGGCCACCCCAAATTTTGATCCATTTGTATACCCCAACCCATGACATGTTCCAAAGACATTTCCAAACCATTTCCCAAAGGTCCAAACTTTTAAAACATGGTTTAAAACACATATGTTTTCTGCAGCTGTTTTGAACTAGCTCAAGCTGAACTCACCCACCTGAGCTTGGACCTGATGGTTGGCCTGTGTAAGGCCTTTTTTGCCTTGCTGTTGCAGCTGGCCTGGGCAGAATGGGGGCCAGTCCAGGAATGGTATGGAAGGTTATGGAGGCAGCATGTGCCAACAGGATATTGGGCTGAGACCACTGAGGCTGGCTTGCTCATGCACAATGAGGACCATGACTGGTTGGAAGGATGGGGCTATGACCCACCACCACCAGTCCTGGTCCCCAACCCCTACAGCCAGCCAATGACACCACCAAGGACAAGGTTCAACAGCCCCAACAGGGTTGGTGCCCCAAGTGGGGTGGCCTGCAAAAGGCCAAGGCTTCCAAGCATCAATGAGAGGGATGACATTGGTTTTGGTGGTGGAAGGGCCAGCACAGACCCACCAAGACCACCTACACCACCCAGACCTAGCAGGTGTGGTGGTGGTGGTGGTGGTGGGGGCCCTGCTGCTCCTGACAGGCTCCTGGAAGCATTGGGGCAAGTGAGTGAAATGCTCAACCAAGAGCAACCTGAGAAAAGGTATGAAAAAAAAGGCTTCAGGGCAGCCATCAGGAGGCAATTGAAAAAGCTGTGCAACAGGTACCAGCTGAGGTACCCACCATGGCTTGATGGCAATGACCTCACTGTAAAGCAATACAAGATGAGGGTGAGGTGGTTCATTGAGGATTTCATGTTGCAACAAGCACAGCATGCACAGCCACCACAGTCCCCTGATGGGGATGGCCTGGGAAAGGCCTCCACTCCACCCAATTCACCCAGGGATGGTAAGCCACAATCAGGAGGTTCTACTCCTACTGGTGCTGGCTCCCCCATTGGGAGTGAAGACGACAGCAGCAGCAGCAGCAGTAGCAGTGAGTCAAGTGGCAGACCTCCTTCAGCAGCTGCTGGAAGACCATGTGAGCCTGAACCTGCAGCTGGAGCAGCTGGAGATCCACCTTCAAGTGCTGCAGTCATTGGTCACATGATGGACAACCTTTTGGACAATATGGAGGTGCTGCACCCTGGTGTTAGGGAGGAAGTGCAGCAGACCATTTGTGCCCCTCATGAAGAGGGGTGGCCTGCAGAAGGCCCAGCCATTCCCAGCCCATCCTTGGGCACAGCTGGTCCTGCAAGAGACCCCAGGGAAGTGAAAAGTGAACCACCACAGAGCCCAAGACCCATGGATTGCGAAGCAGAGCCTGCAGCCTCTACAGTTGAAATTCCATGTGTGGAACCAGCTGAGCCTAACCCTGGAGCACCTGAACCAGTGGAAACCGCAACTGTGGCTACACCAGGTAGCTGGCCTGCACAAGGCCAAACTGAAAGCATGGATGGCAGCTGGAATGTCTTATCAGACATTGCCACTGAAGAAAGTGTGGAGATGGAGGATTGAGTTGACACTTCATGTGTTGGCCTGAAAAAGGCCATTGGTGCCAAAAGACTCTGAGACATGAGCTGGCTTTTGAAAAAGGTTGTGGGCAGCCAGAGCCAATGTGGTGGGTCTGTTTTTTACTCACACTAATTTTGGGGCATGTAGTTCCACATGGTTGCTTCTAAGTTTTGGTTAACCCACTGAAATTTTTAACAAATAATCAAATATGGGAAATGATGGTACCCCCAAGAAGGAATACCAGGATACTTGTGTTCTCATGAAAATATCATATGGAAATTTTCTTTTGGAACCAACCACATGGAAAGACCACATAGAAATTCCACATCAGAAAAAAACAAATGGTAAAACATGTGGAGACAGAACCCCCATGCAATCAAGATGATAAATTTGAA